TGATATCAATTAATCAGGATATTGGCAAATTTGATATTAATTATTGAATCAGTTGCTCTTCTCTTTAGGGTGGTGCCCTGCCCATATTATTTCTTCATTCCCTATACGGGGGGTGACAATGTTTTTCAAAAATATACAGGGTGTTTCATAATTGAATGCTGATCCTAAAAGGCGATGATCCTTGGATGATTTCAAGGAGAGAAGTTCATATCAACATATGTCCCGAACCTCTTAGTTTTTGAGCTACAGGGTGTTGAAATCAGAAGCGTACAGCGTTTTTTTAAACTAAACATTTGATATCAGGTCTACGAGGACATCACTGGTTAAAGTAAAAGTTTGATTTTCGTCCCAAAACAAAATGTGTTTCCACTCATAGTGGGTGTCTACTGAATTACCAAAAACAATATCCATCAAGAACTGAAGGAACAAAATTCTTTGGTTTTTATTTTTTTACGCGAAAACGGTACGTTGTATGAAAGTAAGTCTAGGAACCAAATTTGCTCCAAAATGAATAAGAATTGAAAAAAAAATCTGGTTCTCAGAAAAATCGGTGGCGTACTATTTTTTCTTCAGAAATTGTCAGTTCAAACCCCGTACGGACGCCACTGGTGGGAATTTTTAAATATCTTCCACGTAAAAAAATGCTCCTTAATAATGAAAAGGTGTATACAAAATATCATAACAATATCTAAGAGTGATACAAAATTATGATGAAAAACTCATTTTTTTCTTGAAATTTCATCACCCTGTAGCTCAATAACTAAGAGGTTTAGGACATAATATATGTTGATATGAACTTTTCTCTTTTCAATCATCCAAGGATTATGGCCCTTGAGGATCAGCATTCAATTATGAAACACCCTGTATAATGCCCATACATTTCTTGTAGTAATTCGGGGAGAAACGATGAAATGAAATCTGAAATTAATTTAATCACTTTCGTTATGAAATTCTCTTGTATTCAATCCAATCTGAAAATCAGCTCAACCACAGCAAACTTGGATTTAATTAGATGATCTCATGATTAAAACTAAAGTTTACACCCAGAATTATTCCACAAGATGTATTAAAATTGAATATTTCTTGAAATCCAGAAAAGATCACGCTTTGAAGCAATGAAATATAGTCTTTCATTATGAAACAAATTTCTTCTCATCTATCTAACAAATTATCCGAACTTGCTTCGGTTCTGTTCATTTTCTTTATAGAATACAGTTCGGAGACTGAAAAAAACAGGAATGCAAGAATTTTTATTTCCCCTTTCTCTTGTAATTTTTGTGAAATTGATCTCATGATTCATATCCACCAGTTATTACATCCTTTTGTCGCCAACCTCGATATATTATGTCCAATTCTCTACTAATACTCGCTCGCCTATGGAACGCCAAACAACTTGAAACCACCGAAAGTTGAAAAATTCCAATATTTACCTTCTCTTCCTGTCCTATCTCGGTAAACACGATGGTCTACGAACATAACAGGGATGTCTTTCTGTGCGCTCCAAAAGATTTAAAAAAATACCTATGTATGTGTTATTTTCGCGGATTTTCATATTCTTGGATAATCATTATACAGTTGACAACCTGAATGCAAGTTGGTTGTGGTTGATGATAACGAAGAACGCAGTGATAACGTTATCAAAAGTTGAATTCCGCATCCTCATATTGAAGAATGTTTTCATTGGTTTTGAAATTATTTAATCATTCCTCACAACTGCTTACAACCTCTACTTTTTTAGGTACCTTATAGATTCTGAATCAATAAGATAAATTGCAATCATAAGGTGCTGATAAAGACCAATATTATGACAAACAGGATGAGTCACAATGTCACAATAATCTTAGGGTCATTTAGTAATTCTATACCTACTTTCGATAAATTGTTTCAATAAATATATCAAGCATAGAAGAATTTTTATATATTATAATTGATAATTTTCTTGTACAATCAATGCATTGAGAGGAATAGAAAATGCCTCGGAAAATGCAATGGTCATCAAAATAATATGAAAATTTCTTGTGGTGCTAATGAATTCAAAGTACCTATAGCAGAAGGATAACAAAGTAAAAAAAAAACGAGGATCGATAACAAACATGGCTGCCTTTTTCTTTACCAGGTAGGTATGTCTTCGAAGAATAATAAGAATTACTGTTCGGCACCTGCCATGTCTGAATGTGAACTGCTGGAATTCAAAATGCAAACTAACTGTCTTGCTACTTGAAGTTAAAATACCTATACACGTATGTAAGAACGTTGAAGCACCTGCCCTCATATACAGGGTGGTCCAGGTTTTTGTACGTTATTTGCAAAGATGCATCATAACTATTAATAAAGGGCGTTCAAGTCTGATTGAATAGTTATTTATTATACAAGGGAAAAAAAGTAGATTTTGTCTCAGACAAAAAACCGTGTGCTAAAATATAACATTTTTCCCGAATATAATACACTATTTTTTTTTGTGACAGAAGAAAGGACGAATGAATATTGAGAAGATATAACATTATTTTGAAATCTGAAAATTATCGACGTGAAATTTTAAGTTTTCAACACTAGGGACACCTGCGTTGTAGGCATCTTTATCATTCTTTTGAAGTAATCAAAATCTGATGTCACTTCTGTCAGTCTAATTCTGTGATTTGATTTCAAAAAATTGCGAAATCAGTGCAGTTTTTTAGTAATATACGTAACCGTGAAGTCGAATGGAAGATAAAAGGACTTGCAGTTCTTTCTCGGAGACGGTATTATTGACTCATTTTTCGGAACTATAGCACAACAAAAGCCATCAACATTGTATATATATGTGATATATATCCGGGAAAAAAGTACTCACTTTTTTCCCACGAAAAAAAAAAGTAATTTATGAAAAGTGACATTTTATAACCTGCCAACAGAGATGAAATGCCAAACTATTTTCCCGTCACAGAAAAAAAAATGTTATGGTTCCATATCTAAGGAAGAATAATAACTTCGATTCAACAAACACTCAACAAACACAAATAAGGGCTTTATGTTCTAAATTTATGAAGCTGATGAGCGATAGGTGCTGTTGCAATAAAAGTGATTATTTTTCAAATTCGGCACTTCCTCGCACACCTATACCGGGTGACACAGAGTATCGGGCCACCCCTGTTACTTCTGCATTCGTCAACGGATTTTTCTGAAATTCGGTACAATTATATAAGCAATTATTTCGGATTTGATCACATTACAATCCAATATGGCGGACTTCCGGTATTTCTGGAAATGACAGCAACTTTGTTTTTTCAAATGAAACACCCTGTATATTTTTACATATTCAAGTTCAACAGGTCGAAACAAGTGCAATCTTTATTTCAAATGTCATTTTTTCGAAAAAATTTAAATTAAAATTGTTTTTTCATTTTACCTCGTGGATAAATGAGATATGGTCAAGACTATTCAAAATGAGTCACACATAACAGAAGAACATAATTTTTTTTGAAAAATTATTTTTTGTGTCACTTATCCAGAAATCAATTCAGCCACATCACTTTTTGATCAAAAATTATTTTTTTTCAAATGGAACCCCTATGGGCCACCTACCCGTCTCTCTAGAACACACATTGAGGAACAAAATGACATATCATTTTTGTTTTTTGGTGCAGTAACAAATTGTATACATTCAAAAATCAACAACTAGTTTATGAATTTCCTTGCAGTTAGAATAATTTTTCAACTAGGTAGGCTGTGGAATAAATGAAATTTGACATCAAGATTGCACTTGTTTTGACCTGTTGAACTTGGATATGTAAAAATATACAGGGTGTTCCATTTGAAAAAACTAAATTGCTGGAATTTCCAGAAAAACCGGCAGTCCGCCATATTGGATTTCAATGTGATCAAATCCGAAATAGTTGCTTATATAACTGTACAGAATTTCAGAAAAATCCGTTAACGAATGCAGAAGTTACAGGGGTGGCCCGATAACCTGTGTCACCCGGTATATTCCTTATCTCTTTCTTTGTGAACTCCACGTCCACAGTAGAAGTCAAAAATAGTTACAGGAATCCATAATTATAGATGCCGATATATCAAAGAAAAAGAAAATTAGTACCTACTTCGCTAAATTGTGTTTTCAATAATGAAGAAAAAATCATTTTTTGATTGTGATAAATACCTATAGGCAGTCAATTATTGAGCTTGAACGTTTTTCTTTATAAACATGTCAAAATAGTGAACACAAATATTGAGACAAATAGACATTGTAAAACATCAGTACAGGAGTTTTTTTCAATGGAGAATTATTACTGAATAAAAATTAATATCGATATAGTCAAAGAGATTTTGTTTTCAAATTCTTATCGTGTTTGTTCAATAGATGTGATTCAATGTTCGTCGTGGCATATAGCCAGGAAAGTAGTTGTTTTGTGTTGAATAAACCGAGAAAGAATTAATATTTTCATCACATGGAGAATGCGAATTCTCAATGTATTTCTTTATATGTATGTCCATTTTTTGTGTCCATAAATATATCTGAGAATATTCCTTTTCAAACAGGAAAATTCAGTCGGAACAGTTTCTGATCAGACACAATAGGGGTTCCCAGTCGTGCGCTCTAAGAGATGAAAAAAAAAAAAAAAAAAAAAAAAAAAAAAAAAAGGAATTTCAAATTTTTTCAAAACGCGATTCTTGAGGGTTTATAGCTTGTTTTATACATAATTCACTGTTCATGAAATGGTCGATGAATCATATGCCTTCGAATTAAATTTGACATGTTGATTAGAATATTTCTGAATTCTCAAATGAAATTGAACAAAATCATCTGCTTTTTTTCTTTGAGATTGCCGTGTGGGAAACAATGAAAGACAAAAATAACAATGTCATTATCTTGTTTAACTGAACCCTTTTTTCCATTCCACGTATAACAAAAACCTCGCAAGTCAACCCCACCCAAAAATGTAAAAACCAACTACACGCCTCGAATTCCTGATTCAATAGCGTAAAATGAATGAAAAAACTTTCTGAATTGGGACGATTCTTACCTTTGATATGTTGGTGGCGGGTATTTGTGATATAAAAATGAACTTTTCGCAGAATATAACTGTAAAAGAACTTTACCGGTTTATCACAGCTGATTCAGCTCAGTCAACACTACAAAACGTTCGATGTGTAAATGAATGAAAATCAACAGAGAAACGACTGACGGGCCAAGAACAGAAGCGCATTCTGTATATCCACGAAGCGGTGTTGCCGTGACGACAAGAAAATAGTATAAAATTCGATTTCTCACTTCGGAATTTCAAACAAAAATACACATATTGTTTCCCACGAGTATAAGCGAATGTTGCAAATCATACACCATGCCTCTCCCAAAATACAGGGTGACATTTGGAAAAAAAGTGATTTTTCAACACCCTTTTATTAGATTCACCTGTATGTATATATAATATACTTTGGACTCAATTTTGACCCACTTGAAATGGACCGATTGATTTGAAATTTGGCAGGTGTACATAGTTCTGGTGGAAATGCATAATGACATTTTATTAGACAAAAAAACAAAATGGCGGCCCCGAAATGACGGACGAGTTTTGTAATTATGATCCGATTCCATTCGAAATTGGTATCTGGAGGCTTTCGTGGTTGGAGATTATGATTTTTTCGTCAAAATTGTAAAATTCAAAATGGCCGATTCATTATGGTGAACGAGTTTTGTAATATGATCCGGATTCTACTCAACATTGTTATCTGGGGTTTTTTGGGTCGGAGATTATTATGTCTTTGTCAAAATTGGATAATTTAATATGGCGGATACAATAATATGCCGGACGGGTTTTGTTATCATGATCCGATTCTATTAAAAATTAGTACCTGGGTGTTGTCGGGCTAGTAGATTAATGTTTCTTTGTCAGAATTGGGTATTTACAAAAATATGAGACCATTAAAAAAAAGCTTTTTTTAGTTAGTAGGAACTAAAAATTTGGAAATAAATAGTAGTTAGTTTAAAAAACTAAAGAAACAACCTTTTATCGAGCCTTGAATTGCCAATCTAAAAAAAGTAGAAAATGAATAAATGAAAGTGTGTTGATAAATACGCAACATAGAATGTACTGATTACGAAGATCAATCAATCAACTTTATTATTCCAAAGATGGTAATATTTTTTATGTTGTTTAATTATCAACACACTTTTATTATTTTATTTTCTACTTTTCAATTTGGCTTCCTATAAAAATGTGTTTCTTTGTTTTTTAAACTACTATTCATTTATTGATAGCTTGAAAACGTTTTAGCCGATTTTGAAGAAATATGATTCAATTATTATTTATTACCTTTTTTCCATATTTTGTTGACCTTGTAAAAAAATTTGCGGTTTCCGTATTAGTGCCCTATTTTGTGAAACGAAATTTCGAAAACGTGAAATATAGAGATATGTGTCGTTTTCACAAATTCGAAATATGTTGAAAATGTTGAGAAAAAAGATTTGGTACTTGTGGCAACAGCGCATCAGTTCGGTTGATACAAGAAATGACCGCCCGAAGCGCTGCTCGTCAAACAATTTCAAACCTTATTCACCATCTACTTAAGGTCCAATTTAGCGCGATGAGAATCTATTTATTGGCTTTATTTGATCGAATCATATCGGTCCCCTACTTCAAAATTGAGTGGGGAAATTCGATTATTTAGGATGTGACTCATTCCGGTATGGAATTGCTTAAATGAGCAAACACTTCGATGGAAACGCCTTTATCATTCACCCCCGTGACTCGTTCACCATTTTTTCCTTCGAAGGTTTCTTATTTAGTTGCATTTTCACTTGTAATGCCACTAGAGGTTGAATTATTTCCGAATTTTTTTTGAGCTCATGAATATTTTGAAAATTGTCCGTCGTCTAGCGAGAAAAATTTCCTGAAAACAACTTTACATCGTGTGGTATTCGTTAAGAAAATTCACGCCAGATTGTATTCGAGAATTAGATATTAATTTATTTATTGAATCAAGTAAAATCAACATTTTGTCATTGAATATATACTTCATATTGTATATCCTTCACGTAGATTAGTGATATGTGTGTGAAAGAAATGAATTATTTCACGTATAACATCGTTTCTCCACAATATAAATACTTAACTGAAAACAAATGAACTGCAATTCACACAAAAATGAGAATACATTAAAAAAACAAAAATTGAGTTGATAAAAAAAGATCATCGACTTTTTTTTGCATTTTCTATAAGCCAACTTTTAACTTAGTTAGAAAGTTATGATATTTAGACGCCATAATTTTGATGGTATTTTATTATCAATTTTAAATCCAATATGAAATTCGGATGTTTTTCAAAAATCCAAAATTCAAAAATTCTAAGCTTATGTTTTTCAAGTCGTATAGGTACATATTGTTGATTTTGTTTCTGGTACCATGACTGTGATTGATTTTATTTGTTATTGCCGGGTTCTTTTTAATAAAATATTATTGACGCCTTATACAGGGTAACTCACGGTTACGTTAGACGTTTATGGAGAACGGGACATAGGATCATTCTGAAATTTTGGTTACTCACGTAGTTGCTCTTGGTCTATCGATCTAAAATATTTTCACCTCTGCGGCGTTGCCGCTTCTATCGAAAAGTAGCAACAACTTTGTTATTTTAAATGGAACACCCTGTATTTTATTGCATTTTCAGATTCTCTCTGAAGAGCTGATTTCATCGATGTATCACACTTGGGGTCTAGCGGAAATGATTATAGAGATGTAGGATGTAGGGTGTGAAAAATCGACATTTTTCAAATTTAGGAATTTTTTTTGTCGAAACTATTCATTATTGGTCAAAATGGCTCACATGTCCCTATCTCAACTTTTGATCAACCATCTACTGACATTTAATTGAAACAAATACAGGGTCGTGCAGAATTCAGTATCTTGATCACCCGGTATATGTCCCAATTAAATATCAGTAGATACTACTCAACTCAAATAAAAGATAGAGAATAGTGAGAAATGATTTTATTCAGAATCAACATTAACAGAAACAACAGAATTTGCATTGCTCAGGTTAAAATTGTACCCAGTTAAAAATGTTTAAAAAATACGAGAATTGAATGGATTACACTGGAATATATTTTGTTATGACATTCAACATAAAAAAAAAATCCAGTGTAAGAAGCAAACATACAAGGATCATTTTCCTAACATTTTGTTAGCAAAGATCAAGTTTAACTCATGTGAATGATATTCCAATTCAATTATATTAGAAGACATTTCAAATACACAAATTTTTAATAATCATATTAAATATTCCTTATAAAATTGTGATACTGAATTTAATCTTCATTTGCAAATGCAATCAGTGCAGATTAAATAATGACCATATATTTCTATATGCGAGACCGTTTTATTATAGAAAAGCTCCCCTTTACCAATTTTTATTCAAGGGCCAGAACTCAATAGAACATTTCAAAAATTTAAGAGTTTCTTCAGACAATGAAACAGAAATGGATATATTTCCAAAAAATTATATTTCTCACTAAAATTTATGAAAATACTATACACTCTTATAAAACTCTTCTCTAAAAATAATAATATACAAGACAAGAATCTGTCGATCTATTTAATATCTTTGGTTCAGTCTTATCCATTTTATTAGAATCAGTATGAATTCAACAACCATTTAGATCTTCAGTTGTAATGACCATTGAAACTACTCAACATCTTCAAATTTATAAATCCATTTCATGAATCAACTTTAATTTTGATTAAAGCAAACCCATACAATAATAATTATTGAATTCATACAGCCTCATAAACCCTTAAATTTTTGAAGTGCTAAAAGCCATTGAACATAATTTTTATCAATAAGCAATATGCTATCATATTTACACAAATTCTCACATTGAAGGTACTCATAAATATTAAGGGGATCATCAAATTTTGCGGACAACTTCAAGGGGATCATCCAGATATACATGAAGATTGATGGCAGTGCACCTTTTCATGTTATTGGTAAAATGACTTTCAATGGCTTCTTTCTTGTGAGCATCGGCGATATTTTCGATCTACCTGAAACGCCCCTTCAATGTTCCAGATAAACAAAAGACGAGCAAATATCAGTCGCAAGAAACAAGAACTAAAAATACACTTGAAAATAAATTATTCTGTACAGCTAGATACATCTCGAAAATGAATATATAAATATATTAAAACATTTTTTACACATGTACATGTATACCAGTGGAAACTTAACCACACATCTGAAAATAAATTGAAAAAACAATGTGTACTAGAGATTTGAGTAAAAAAGCATAGCGAAAACGTTTTCAAGGCATTTGTGAAGTATTCAGGAAACTTTACTCCACGTATTCGTGGAAATTTTCACGCTTTCGTGAGGGCTTGATGCTTTTTCATGAGTGCCTTTCTTCACGCATTTATGACTTTTTGTTGTATTTCACGCATTCCTGATAGCGTGACTTCAATTTCACACAGTGGTGACGCATTATTGATAGTTTTTACATGCCATTACGCTTTTCGTTGTTTTTTCACATATTCTTGATAGCGTGACGCTTTCTTACGACAGTCGTCACGCATTAGTGACTTTTTGTTTGTTTTTTCACGTAATCCTGATGATGTGACTTTTTTTCGCAAGTAGTGATTCTTTACTAATCGTTGTCTTCACGCAGAAATAATGTTTATTGTTGTTTTTTTTTTTCACGTTTCCATGATAGCGTAACGTTTTTAGAGATTTGTAAGGATTTCTTCACGCAGTCGTAGAACTTCCTCACGCGGTTAAGGCATTTGTGACGTGTTCAGGACACTTACTCCACGTATTCGTGGAAATTTTCACGCTTTCGTGAGGGCTTGATGCTTTTTCATTAGTGCCTTTCTTTACGCATTTGTGACTTTTTGTTGTATTTCAAGCATTCCTAATAGTGTGACTTTATTTTCACACAGTGGTAACGCATTATTGATATAGTTTTTACATGCCATTACGCTTTTCGTTGGTTTTTTCACATATTCTTGATAGCGTGACGCTTTCTTACGACAGTCGTCACGCATTAGTGACTTTTTGTTGTTGTTTTTCACGCATTCGTGATGATGTGACTTTTTTTCGCTAGTGGTGATTCTTTACTAATCGTTGTCTTCACGCAGAAATTATGTTTTTTGTTGTTTTTTTTTCACGTTTTCATGATAGCGTAACGTTTTTAGAGATTTGTGAGGATTTCTTCACGCAGTCGTAGAACTTCCTCACGCGGTCAAGGCATTTGTGACGTATTCGGAACACTTACTTCTAGTATTCGTGGAAATTTTCACGCTTTCGTGAGGGCTTGATGCTTTTTCATGAGTGCCTTTCTTTACGCATTTATGACTTTTTGTTGTATTTCACGCATTCCCGAAAGCGTGACTTCATTTTCACACAGTGGTGACGCTTAATTGATAGTTTTTTCACGCAATTACGCTTTTCGTTGGTGTTTTTCACATATTCTCGATAGCGTGACGCTTTCTTACGACAGTCGTCACGCATTAGTGACTTTTTGTTGTTGTTTTTCACGCATTCGTGATGATGTGACTTTTTTTCGCTAGTGGTGATTCTTTACTGATCGTTGTCTTCACGCAGAAATTACATTTTCATTATTTTTTTTTTCACGTTTCCATTATGGCGTGACGTTTTCAGATATTTGTGACGATTTCTTCACGCAGTCGTAAAACTTCCTCACGCGGTCAAGGCATTTGTGACGTATTCAGGAAACTTACTCCACGTATTCGTGGACATTTTCACGCTTTCGTGAGGGCTTGATGCTTTTTCATGAGTGCCTTTCTTTACGCATTTATGACTTTTTGTTGTATTTCACGAATTCCTAATAGTGTGACTTCATTTTCACACAGTGGTGACGCTTAATTGATAGTTTTTTCACGCAATTACGCTTTTCGTTGTTTTTTTTCACATATTCTTGATAGCGTGACGCTTTCTTACGACAGTCGGCACGCATTAGTGACTTTTTGTTGTTGTTTTTCACGCATTCGTGATGATGTGACTTGATTCTCGCGATTGGTGATTCTTTACTGATCGTTGTCTTCACGCAGAAATTACGTTTTCGTTGTTTTTTTTTTCACGTTTCCATGATGGCGTAACGTTTTCAGAGATTTGGGACGATTTCTTCAAGCAGCCTTAAAACTTCCTCACGCGGTCGAGGCATTTGTGAAGTATTCAGGAAACTTACTCCACGTATTCGTGGAAATTTTCACGCTTTCGTGAGGGCTTGATGCTTTTTCATGAGTGCCTTTCTTTACGCATTTGTGACTTTTTGTTGTATTTCAAGCATTCCTAATAGTGTGACTTTATTTTCACACAGTGGTAACGCATTATTGATATTTTTTTCACGCCATTGCACTTTTCGTTGGTGTTTTTCACATATTCTCGATAGCGTGACGCTTTCTTACGACAGTCGTCACGCATTAGTGACTTTTTGTTGTTGTTTTTCACGCATTCGTGATGATGTGACTTTTTTTCGCTAGTGGTGATTCTTTACTGATCGTTGTCTTCACGCAGAGATTACGTTTTCGTTGTTTTTTTTTTCACGTTTCCATGATGGCGTAACGTTTTCATAGATTTGTGACGATTTCTTCACGCAGTTGTAAAACTTCCTCACGCGGTCAAGGCATTTGTGACGTATTCGAGATACTTACTCCACGTATATGTGGAAATTTTCACGCTTTCGTGAGGACTTGATGCTTTTTCATGAGTGCCTTTCTTCACGCATTTGTGACTTTTTGTTGTATTTCACGCATTCCCGATAGCGTGACTTCATTTTCACACAGTGGTGACGCTTAATTGATAGTTTTTTCACGCAATTACGCTTTTCGTTGGTTTCGCTTTCTTACGACAGTCGTCACGCATTAGTGACTTTTTGTTGTTGTTTTTTCACGCATTCGTGATGATGTGACTTTTTTTCGCTAGTGGTGATTCTTTACTGATCGTTGTCTTCACGCAGAAATTACGTTTTTGTTGTTTTTTTTTCACGTTTCCATGATGGCGTAACGTTTTCAGAGATTTGTGACGATTTCTTCACGCAGTTGTAGAACTTCCCCACGCGGTCAAGGCATTTGTGACGTATTCGAGATATACTCCACGTATTCGTGAAAATCTTCACGCTTTCGTGAGGGCTTCATGCTTTTTCATGAGTCTTTCTTCATGCATTTGTGACTTTTTGTTGTATTTCACGCATTCCTGATAGCGTGACTTCATTTTCACACAGTGGTGACGCATTATTGATGTTATTTTCGCGAGTGGCTATACTTTAATGATCATTGTCTTCACGCAGAAATTACTTTTGTTGTTTTTTTTACGTTTCCATGATGGCGTAACGTTTTTAGAGATTTGGGACGATTTCTTCAAGCAGCCGTAAAACTTCCTCACGCGGTCGAGGCATTTGTGAAGTATTCAGGACACTCTTGATGCTTTTTCATCAGTGGCTTTCTTCACGCATTTGTGACTTTTTGTTGTATTTCACGCATTCCTGATAGCGTGACTTCATTTTCACACAGTGGTGACGCATTATTGATATTTTTTTCGCGAGTGGCTATACTTTAATGATCATTGTCTTCACGCAGAAATGACTTTTGTTGTTTTTTTTTCAAGTTTCCATGATGGCGTAACGTTTTTAGAGATTTGGGACGATTTCTTCAAGCAGCCGTAAAACTTCCTCACGCGGTCGAGGCATTTGTGAAGTATTCGAGATACTTACTCCACGTATATGTGGAAATTTTCACGCTTTTCGTGAGGGCTTGATGCTTTTTCATGAGTGCCTTTCTTCACGCATTTGTGACTTTTTGTTGTATTTCACGCATTCCTGATGTTTTTTTCGCGAGTGGCTATACTTTAATGACCATTGTCTTCACGCAGAAATTCCTTTTGTTGTGTTTTTTTTACGTTTCCATGATGGCGTAACGTTTTTAGAGATTTGGGACGATTTCTTCAAGCAGCCGTAAAACTTCCTCACGCGGTCGAGGCATTTGTGAAGTATTCAGGACACTCTTGATGCTTTTTCATGAGTGCCTTTCTTCACGCATTTGTGATTTTTTGTTGTATTTCACGCATTCCTGACTTCATTTTCACACAGTGGTGACGCATTATTGATGTTTTTTTCGCGAGTGGCTATACTTTAATGATCATTGTCTTCACGCAGAAATGACTTTTGTTGTTTTTTTTCAAGTTTCCATGATGGCGTAACGTTTTTAGAGATTTGGGACGATTTCTTCAAGCAGCCGTAAAACTTCCTCATGCGGTTGAGGCATTTGTGAAGTATTCAGGACACTCTTGATGCTTTTTCATGAGTGCCTTTCTTCACGCATTTGTGACTTTTTGTTGTATTTCACCCATTCCTGATAGCGTGACTTAATTTTCACAAAGTGATGACGCATTATTGATAGTTTTCTTCACGCCATTACGCTTTTCGTTGGTTTTTTCACATATTCTTGATAGCGTGACGCTTTCTTACGACTGTCGTTACGCATTAGTGACTTTTGGTTGTTCTTTTTCACGCATTCCTGATTATGTGCCTATTTTTCACAAGAGGTGATTCTTTACTGATTGTTGTCTTCACGCAGAAATTACGTTTTTTGTTTTTATTTACGTTTCCATGATGGCGTAACGTTTTTAGAGATTTGTGACGTTTTATTCACGCAGTCGTTCCTCACGCGGTCAAGGCATTTGTGAAGTATTCAGGAAACTTACTCCACGTATTCGTGGAAATCTTCACGCTTTTGTGAGGGCTTGATGCTTTTTCATGAGTGTCTTTCTTTACGCATTTGTGACTTTTTGTTGTATTTCACCCATTCCTAATAGTGTGACTTCATTTTCACACAGTGTTGACGCATTATTGATGTTTTTTTCGCGAGTGCCTACACTTTAATGATCATTGTCTTCACGCAGAAATTACTTTCGTTGTTTTATTTTACGTTTTCATGATGGCGTAACGTTTTTAGAGATTTGGGACGATTTCTTCAAGCAGCCGTAAAACTTCCTCACGCGGTCGAGGCATTTGTGAAGTATTCAGGACACTCTTGATGCTTTTTCATGAGTGCCTTTCTTCACGCAATTTTGATTTTTTTTTTGTATTTCACGCATTCCTGATAGCGTGACTTCATTCTCACACAGTGATGACGCATTATTTATTGATAGTGTTTTTCACGCCATTACGTTTTTCGTTGGATTTTTTCACATATTTTGATAACGTGACGCTTTCTTATGACTGTCATTAGTGACGATTTTTTGACTCATGCAGTCATGCCACGTCCTTACGTATTCGTGACGCTTTTTTTACTCAGCTTCATGGCAAACATTGTTTTCCCAGACCTTTCGGACACGTGGTTCTCTCTTCATACCACACTTACCATATCCACAATCGATTAGGAGGTGAAAATTCGGACCACCTTATTGACGGACCGATTGCAAATGGGGCACCTTTTGATAGTGTGCAAAGTACGTTTGGCGCACCGGTAGCAGCAGCACTGGTGCGCCACGTTCGTGTGCAAAAAGATGCTGTCCTTGGGGGCGCTGTTGCAGAAAATGCACAGCTCAGAAGTGTCGGAAGTGGATTTTTCGGTGGTTGTTGAGCTGAAAGAGCTGGCACTGGCTTCTGAGCCCAGCTCGGAGGACTGGCTCAGAGCTAGGGTTTTCGGACGCTGTGGTTTGGATTTTTTGACGATCTCGAAGTCCGAGAGGCTGCTCTCGGAGAGGTCTCTTTTGCGTTTGGGGGTGGTGGTTACAGGGGTGGGTTGCGATGGTGCTTTGACTTCTGCGATTGTTAGGTTAGGTTGCGGTGGTACTTTGACGTCTTCTGCGTTGATTAGGTTAGGTTTCGATGATGTACCTTTGAAATAATTTCCATCAATAAATACATTATATCTCTACAGTGTGTCCCACTTACCATGCTCACCATGGGTGTCTTTTTAACGGTGAGAGATACGAGGTCGGTTAAATGACACCAAATGTGGAGTTTGTCATGGCCAACTATAATGTGAAAACAGATTTTGATCATTTCCATGTCTCCTCCGTAACTTCTTCATTTATGAAAATATTCAAATAGGAATTTCACATTCTCATGGCAGTTTTTCAAAATGATTTCGAAAAAAATATGAAATTTATACCCACTCTTCTGATATTTGAGATATCAGCATCAACTTTAGTTCTTCAACTGTAGGTCATAGCTCACTATGACTTAGTTACAAATAACTTTTTCTTCTCTCACAGATGATATGTCGCAGTAATAGTTTTGTGTTGATAACATCGGAGTTATCGTCATTTATAAAAAAACAAAAAATTATTTGGAAGCCGCCATCTTGAATTTATTAATTATAACAAAAAAATCATGATATCCGACCTCAAAAACCCCCACTTACCAATTTTGAATGGAATCGGAACAAATCTTGTCCGCCATCTTGGAGCAGCAATTTTTTTTCAATTTCAACAAAAATTCCATAATGAATTGTCACCGGAATTATGAACACCTGCCAAATTTCAAGTTAATCGAAGTTATGGAATTTTCGCTGAAATTAAAAAAAAATGGCTGCTACAAGATTTGGTCCGATTACATTCAAAATTGGTAAGTGGGGGTTTTTGAGGTCAGAGATCATGATTTTTTTGTTAAAATTCAAGAATTCAAGATGGTGGCATCCAAATCATTTCTTGTTTTTGTATAAATGACGATAACTCCGTTGTTATCAACACAAAACTATTACTGCGACATATCATCTGTAAGAGAAAAAAAAGTTATTTGTAACTAAGTCATAGTGAGCTATGACCTACATTTGAAAAAATAAAGTTGGTGCTGATATCTCAAATTCTAGAAGAGTTGGTATAAATTTCATATTTTTTTCGAAATCACCTTGAAAAACTGCCATGAGAATGTGAAATTCCTATTTGAATATTTTCATAAATAAAGAAGTTACGGAGGAGACATGAAAATGATCAAAATCTGTTTTTTGCGTATAAAACAAAAACGAATAGATTTTATCAAAATATTTTTTCACATTATAGGTGGCCTTGACAAACTCCACATTTGGTGTCATTTAACCGACCTCGTATCTCTCACCGTTAAAAAGATACCCATGGTGAGCATGATAAGTGGGACACACTGTATTTATTCTAACGAATACAAGAGTGATAATATAAACGGACGTACTTTCTTAAGATACCATATCCGAATGGAAATGAAAATAAAATTGTGCAACTGCAGTGGCTACAATTGCAATGGGGGTGTGTTCACTTTTTCCAAGGGGAATTTTAAATGACCTTTCATAGGATTGTATGAAATTCGGAAATGTTCCTTCGTTGCTCACTTTTAAGTAATATATAAACAATAATATCCCCCAAACGACGCCACTGGTAGAGAAAATGGAAATTTGTGTACATCAGAAAATGCACCTTGATGCATAGAAGACATGTACCAAATTTGGTGAAGATGTCTACAATATTATATTAGTTATCATTAAAAAACTGTTTCTTTTTCAAAACTTTATTGCCCTGTATCTCAAAAGTTAAGACTTTCAAGACATACGTTCATAGGAAGTTTTTATCTTAAAATGAGTCAAAGAATCGCCCCCTTAAATATTAGCATGTCTTTAACGAACATCCTGTATAAACCGTTCATTGCCATCGCTATTCGCGAGATTCACGAAGTGGGCGACATCTAGGTTACATAATACGAACTTCAAACTGGGGGAAAACAGTTGTCTATGGATGAAGTGCATAGACTATATTGCATTCAGCTTGCTGTAGATGTAGTCAAACTTGTCAATGACATAAAGTGTTGGCACTGTTGGTAGTGATGATGGTTGGGTTGGTTATTTTTTTTACATTATTACATTTTCATTAGTTTAGTGAACAGTGAACTGGTGGAGATAGTTCAAACAATTCAAACTAATTATGACGAACAAATCAATTGACATATAAAAGAACAGCTACAACATGTTGACAATACCCAGATTGTCCTGCTTTGCAGGAACAAATACAAATCCATTGCTCTACAGGAGTTCCTCTGGGCCCCAACTTCAATTTTACTTCATGTGGGGAAGATTTCATCGCCGAAGTTTGTAGACAAAGTGCAAAAATGTGCCTTTTGTTGAAGTCTTCTGCCTCACACGAAATCACATGATTAGCACGGAGCTAAAACTGGCGTTTTCGATCGAATATTGACAATTAATGTCATGGGTTTGAGTGAGGATTGAGTTGTTTTCCCCCAGTTTTGACGTGGCTTTGACAGGGAACGATGAAAACCGAGCGCCACCTGGTAACATTGATTCCCGCGAATACCTGGTCTGAGATGCTCGTCCGGCACGATGATCTGGTCCAGCCCTAAGGGCGGGCACTCCTGGCTGGATCCGATGCCGGAGTCCTGGCTGAGGCCGCTGAGGCAGGAGCGCAACAGGTCCAGCTTGACGGGCGCGTCTGGATGGGATTTCTTCTTCGTCGGCTTCCTCGTCTTCTTGTTGCCCTTCGGTCGAGGGGGGAAGAATTTTTTGCGATCCTGCGGCGCGAATGATGTTTTTTTTACGATGGGACAACGAAACTGCGTATTTTTCTATCATGAATTGGATCACATGGAATACTCGTCAAGTTTCAGAAATATTGCCCGTCAATAATGAAAAAAAAAATTGAAGAAAAAATGAACAAGAAAAATTGGAATTGTAGTCGGAGTCTGATAACGTTCATTTTATGCCAAATTTGATTATTTTTTCATGTTTGGAAAGAGTTATAGAATTCTCTTATGGGACCTTCGTCAGGACTTGCGAGAAATAAAAAGGAAAATTCTCGAAAATGTTATTCTTTGTTAGGTACTTCTTTCGTTCTCTTTTTTTATTCAATTCTTTTGGCTCGCTTTTTTTCGGTCATTTCAAACTCTATTTATTTTACATGTGGAAATACAGCTCATGAAGGAAAGGGGAGAGGGGGTTATTTTCAAGTAAAATATGTTTGAAAATATTAATAAAAAATCTGGTAGGTTATCAATAGACCATTTTTCTCATTTTTAAGATACCTGAGAAACATTTTTTTTTCATAAACATTTTTCCTGTTTCAATTATGTGGATTGTGAATTTTCAATTATACTTTTCAAAAACAAAAAAAAAAAACAAAAAAAAAACTGCGTATTTTTTCATTATGATTTAGGTCACCTAGAAGATTCGTTGAATTTCATAAATATTGTAAATCGATTAACTCGATTTAGAATTGTAAAAGGTGAGCGAAATCGTATGTCTAAAGGAACTAACGATAAAAAAATTCGATAATAGGTTTATTTAGTACCAAATTTGTATATTTTTCCTTGTTCTGAAATCTAGGTGATGACGTCATCGAATTCTGTAAATAGAACATTCGTCAGGACTTGGGAGAAAAAAGCAAAATTCGGAAATGTTATTCGTTGTTCCGTTTTTTCGGTCATTTCAAACTCCTCCTTATTTCTATCTAAAATATTTTCCAAGTGGTTGGCAAGTGAAAATATCCTCTTGATTTTTAGATTTTCTTGGAACCTCTACAAAAAATGTATAATTCTGAGAAAAACTTTTTTTTTAAATCCTCGAACATTTGTTTTGTTCCTTCCCATGTTCTTTTTTATTTCATCCTTTCTTTTCTCGTATTTTTTTTTTGTTTTAGTCCAGTGCCTTCATTTTATAAGTACAAATTTAGCTCATGTGGAAAATGATCGAAGATTTTCATTGATAATCTGGTAGGTCGAACCAAATTCCACATTTTTTTGAAACCTATTCGGAAAATATCCTTACTTGAAAGCTTTTCCTTTATTGACATTATTTCTGTTTCAATCACTAGGATTGGGAATTTTCACTTTTTTAACCAGTTATTTTTTTATGATAAATCTGAAACTTGAACGAATTTTCAACATGATATATAGACACACACACCCAAACACAATGAAGCAAAAAACAATTAACATTTATCTTGCTGAAGAGAATCAATTTTAGTCCGAACAAATTTTTAGAGAAAGTCGCGTTCAAAAACTAGAATTCCTATTCATATGAATAAAGTTTAGTGAAACAAAAAAATTCAAACCGTTTTGACAGGAAAATTTGAAGAAATTTCAACGTTTCTTGAATGGTGAGGGGAAAATCGAGTACAATTGAAAAAAAAAACTAAATTATCATTAGTGATTCTAGAAGATGCTCATTTTAGTATTTACAAGCATTGTTCATTGATTGCAGTAAATGTGTAAATAGTTTTCTCCAAAATTTTTATGTATCTTGAATAGAATGAGAATTGGATGTTTTTTCAGTTATTCATTTACACAAACATTTTGATATTTTCAGAAATCCAGGAAAAAAAGTATTGATTGTTTGAACTTTTGAAGTTGGTTAAAAACAAGAAAGAAACTATTTACACACTGTGTATATTATTGTTGATTGAGGTAACTTTTTTGAATAGATCTGCTGATTTTGAGTATTAACTATGACAATGCAAAACAAGTCTTAAAAAAATAATGATCATACATTCATTTCCAAAAGTTTTGTATTCATGAAATGGATTGTTGAGCATACTATTTCTTGAATAATTTTCTACAAATCCTCTATTCAGATTGCTCCAATTCCAATGCTCCGTAGGAGGTAGTTTAGTACCTCAATCAAAAATACTATTTTCCACCATTCCCATTTACTCACGAATAATTTGGAAAAACGCACCTTATGACAGGAAATGCATAGGGTGAAACATTTGTATGTCTTGCGCATCTTGCATTGCCTGCAGCTCTGCTAAACCATAAAACAAAAACAATTGAATACTCGTTCTATCGGGGTGTTACGGCTCACATCGAATGATGTTGCCTTAACCTCAAAAAAAAAATCATGTATGTTGTAAACACTGCAATACTCCAAGTCACACCCAAATAATACTGCCATTCTGAGAAAAACATCGGATGAAATAAATAAATAAAAAATCTTACCACAATCGGGAACATTGAAAAATCCGAAGAATTAGTATCAGAAACATGATTGTACCTGTACACTGCTTTTCTACAATCTTCATACCAAATACAATCTTCACACCAACATTCTAGCCATATTCTAGCAGACAAAAAACTGCTCTACCTCAATGCATCTTTCGAAAAATCTCAGTTCTTTGAATACAGTCAATGCACACACAACACAAAAAAACGTTCCAACACATCAAATTATTTTCATCATTCAATAAGTTCAATTAATCGTCTTGTCATGATAGATTTGCATGAATTTCAAGCAACATATCAATGTAAATAGTTCTAAAGGTCACTTATTAATATGTTGCCAAATATCTCTGACTGACAGGAACAATAAACAAATAAAATCTCACTGAAGACATGATTTTTTCAAAAGAAAAAACTTCCATAGTTCTTCAAAACCCCTGTATAAGAGATAGCTACTCTTTTTACGTTATACTTATAGTAGCACAACTCTAAAACATTCCTTAGATTTTATTCGAAGAAGAAAAGTATCTATAGGCACAGGGCGTTGAAATGAGCCTTTTCATTTAGATGACAAATGACTATCTCTGTTTACATCTCGCATCCAACGATAATGGCGGCCATTTTCACCGAAACACTTGCACCTCATTCCTCAGTAAGGAATAATAACGTTTTTCGAATTGAATTATTATAATACAATTAATATACACCAAGAATATAGAAACTAAAATATTATGTTGTTATTGTTGCTTCTCAATGGAAAATGCCCATGGTGGTTGACACTGTTGACATTTGGCAGAACGTCAATAACGTCTATAAAAACCGCCATATTCGAAATGGCCAATCAGAATTTTGTTTTGAAACTAAAGCGAATGAGACTTCACCGTCGCTTTACCCAATCAAATTATGGATCTAAAAATGAGCGCATGCGTCTTAAAAATATATCGAAATGAAAAGGCTTATTGAAAATTAACTTAAAATGAGCCAGTCTGTTATGTAACTGAAATGGTGCCAATATTCCAAAAATATGTTTATTATGGTTTTCCAGTAAAATGAACGGGCGTCTTGAATACACTTTTTCAATTACTGAAAAAAACTGAAGAAATATTTGCTTATACAGATCTTAGTATGTCACCAAAATATATCGTATTTTTCGTTGAGTGGTCTTCTAGTAATTGAATGAAAATCTTTTTTTTTTCTTTCAGTGACCATATTTTCAAAACAAAGAATCTTACGACCAATGTTTGAAGAAATTTTTCCTCCTTAAACACTGTAATCTTCCATCAATTGCAGTCATTTTGCTGTTATGAAGTGGACCACCCTGTATAATGTGTGATGTTCAATATAAGAAGATCCTCCATCCTCTAACAATATACTCAAAGTGATTTTGTTTTAGAGAGATCGGTGCTGTAGGACTTGAATTCAATCAACAAGAAGATTTTATCGCTTCCCAGAATAGGCACAGGCAATACAAAAGATAGTATAATAAAATGATTCCCACATTATGATTCACCCCAATTCAAATGGTAATCACATCAAAAACATGGGGGATTACTCACAGATGATGATGCACCTTTTTTCACTTCCAGACAAGTTTCAACTTGTTTTTCGGTGACACCGATTTTGCATTTCATTCAAGTGGTTTGGCACATTATTTATAATGATAACTGTTTTTTCATCGCTATCAAGTACTAATCAATTCAAATTATCACTCATCACCAACAATATTTACGGAAATAGTGAATGAAAAAACTAATTAATGATAGTGAATTAATGTACAGTTAAATATATTGAGTAACCATATTTTTAAATTAATCATTCAGGTTTTTATGGGAGTTTGAAGATGAATTCATAATTTGGAGACTGTTTCTTCAACACTGTAGTGGTGAAAATATTGGGGGTATCCCATAAACAAAGGTCGTAAAAGGCTTCGTTTGTGAGATACAGGGCGTTAAAGTTGCAAATATTTATAGAATTTTCTTCTGTCTACCCTGTATGGCTTATTGTGGTTGAAAAATTTAATCTATTACGTGAATAGCCAAGCATAGTGTCACAATTTCAAAATAATATCTATCGTGGTTATAGAATAATCTGAACAGTTGTCTTGAATGGAATATCCGACAGTTTTGGAGTTGGGTTCAGTTCCGTTTTTGTAGAAAACAGTGTACCTTAAGGAGTTTCAACATTTGGTGCTTTTTTCTACAAGATTGCACCTTCTTTCATAATTTCGAAGAGTTTCATCGCCAACTTTTTTTTTCTCTGAAAATTAACATAGCAATACCCGTGAACGCTAATGCTTCCGATTCAATCACTCTTAGGAACTTAGTGATTCACCAGAAAATCAAGAATATTTGTGGAGCAGTTATTTAACAGTTCAATGAAAATATTTTTTATTTTCAACTTCAACACCCTGTATCTCGCAAATGAAACCTTTTATGACGAGTTCATAGACCTATGTTTATGGGAACTTTCTTCAGTTTGGAGACGCCCTATTACCTCTCGAAGGGTGTCCCACATGTTATGAAACACCCTGTATACATTTTCTGGCGTGAAACGAGTTCGCATGCTGGAGCTTTCATTTCAACACTTTGATTTGTCCTTTTCAAGTTTCCAGTGAATATTTATATACTTAACTACATAGGAGACTATATATTTCATCCTATTATAGTATGACGAAGGCAATCAATTCATGGGATATTTTATCAAATGGTACCAAGTTCAATAAAAGGAACATACAATAACAATTCAAAACATGCAGGATGACCAATCAAAATAATAGCTGTCACATCAATTGAAAGACCCGTGCAAAAACTGGTCAGCTCCATTTTTCATAATTCCTGGGAAATCGATGAAAACTCTACAAAAACGAAACTTGAGATTTTTTGCTCCACAAAAATATCAGTCATCAAGTAGCGAGACAACAAGAAGATACATTTCCTCAGACATATTGAAAATCCTGGAGAGTTTCTTGTACCAAACACATAAAATTAAAGGAATCTAGCAAAATGATCTTTTTTTTAGATAAAAACGATCACAAACAAGGTTTTAACAGATCTAACTGCAAAAAATCAGATTTTGACCTTGGGAGCTCAGATGAACCGGAATCACTACCATAGACTGGAAATGGACCCACCTTGCTACTTGAGAAATTTCTGTTCATGACGATGTATCTGTTTAGTTTGCCTTCCTACTATTTAGGTACCTACTCAAAGATGCGCTGAGGATAAATTAACGTATAGCAACCACATGCAATGCGCTTCAAACCGAGAAACATACATGATGCCAGGTTTTGGCTGACCAATGTTGCCATTCAATAATTAGCAAGGAACGGTCATCTCCAGGAGTTGACTGTTTCATGCACCCAAGTGCTGTTCTGTGAACTACTAGTTTGCATGTACCTTCATCAATAACCACTTTTTATTCGACTATGCGCGTTCATTTTGTTAGCGCTTGAAGCCTTGGTGCTTCACCGTCCTACATATACCTTCCCCTACCCCTCTGTCGCTGTCAGGGTTGTTTTGTTTTGAACATTTTGTTGTGATCAACTGTTTTAAACATGTTTTAAACATGTGCTCAAGTTTTAATCAGTTTTTGTTTAAAACAAAACTCCACATTTGGTGTCATTTAACGGACCTCGTATCTCTCACCGTTGAAAAGATACCCATGGTAAGCATGGTAAGTGGGACACACTGTATAGCCCACTGGCAATGCGAATTTATAAATGGTCTGTGGTTCCCCCAGGCCAACAGTTCTCATCGCAATTGGTTTTCTATTTCGGGGATTCACCGGCACATCCTCACAGCGATGGCGCGGCGCGACAGTTTAGTTTAGTATACAGTCTGACTCCAAATAAGGAATCTATTATTTAGTGGACTAATACTAAAGATTATTATATCAAACATTTTGAATTAATCTCTGAATTAATATTATGTTTGAAAAAATTTGATTTGAGCAATGTCTTTTTCTAAGTTTAATTTGTTTAAATCATAAAATTCAGAAACAAAATAAAAACAATGTTTAAAACAAAAAAACCGTTTAAAACAAAAAAAAAACATGTGTTTTGTATAAAATTAAAAAATACATGTTTTTTTTTTCAACCCTGGTCGCTGTCAAATGAAGCTATTTTTGGTTATGTTCAAAGATTATTTTCTATTTTCCTGTATCAGAATAGTTCAACTCACAATTGAAGGGACAAGTGGAAGAAGGGATCAAGTAACATTTTCTGAAAATATTGGGTTATGTCATGGAAGAAGGTGTTATGTGCATATTATGTAACTTGCCCCATCAGGATTTGTTTCTATTCTTCTTACCTGAGCAGATACACAGATGAGAAGGGGCTGTTACATTAAAACATCAGTTACTCAATGGAAGAAGGGGTCAAGTATGCATAAATCCAGATTTCTATCAAAAAATAATGTCATAGCAAAATGATGTAAATTTAAAAAAATCAACCTGAACTATTCCTCATAATTGCATAAATCGAATTAATAAACAAGCTTTCAGAATGCCAGCTAACTTTACTAAAACCTATTTTTCTCAAGATATTTGTAACATAACTCCTTGTTCCACTTACCCCTTCAATTACAACATGCTCTTCTCCAGAATCAGACATTATCATCATAGATATGACTATATTTTAATATTTCCTAAAAGTAAACAATAAGAGCAGATGCACTAAGACGTTTATTGTGAAGGTTCACTAAAATGCATTCTATTTGGGAGTAGCTCAAGTACAACAAACGCTGGGCTGCTCTGGTGCATGAAACATCAAAAAGAAAGTGGCTGATATTCATAGGAATTGATTTATTCTTGTTCCAAAAATTGCAGAATGATTCTTTGCATAGGATGCATTGAAAACCCTATTTTGAGGAAAAAGTGGAGTTGACCGGTTTTTGCACTGGGCCCTTCAATTATTGAATCTGCTTGTTTTACACCTTTCTTTTACTAATAAATTCACACCCCGATAATTTAGCAGAAAAACCAATCAGATCTTATGGCAGTTGACATTTCATGTCTCAACAATGTCAGTTTGTCAATCATGTCATATATAAATAATTATTTCACAAGTTTTTAATGAAATCATTGTGGAAGAGCAGCTCAACCCAACTTGTCCCAGACAAAAATAATAACACATACACAACGTATATCGGTTTTGTTTCCATGAGTGAAGATTTGTAAGATTGTAGGTTTCCCAAATATACCCCTGTTTGTCAAAATTCCGAATTTTTCCAAGAAATTTTCAGATTTTGTTTATCGTGTCCCGTCAGTCAGTTATGCAAATCTAGTACGTTTTCGAAACCGGATAGATACCTGGAAGCATTTTTCACAATATCGGTAGAGCGGATTGTCGTTTTCCGATTTGCATTGAACGCATCTGCTGAAGCCCGACCGTGTGATGAACGAATCATCCAAAGAGCTGCTATTGTCCGATTCCTCGCAGTCCGTTATCCACGTTTCCAATGAAGAATCGCAAATGGCCTCCACCGCTGCCGCCAGGAACATGTGGTCCTGCAAGCAATTCAGGTTAAATATCCCATGAAATTTGTTAAGGTCCGTGTTATTTTTTTTATCTCTACTTGGTGTAGGTTTGATGAAGATCATAATAAATATGAAAATGAGAAATAAGCTGATACTAATCACATAATTAGTCTAGGAAGAGATGTTATGCTGAAGCCCAGCTCTTCAAATATATCATTACAGTCAATTAAATTGTGCAGAACTTTGTATAAGAGTATGGGAGAGGCACAAACTTCAAGACGTAAAATCTAGACGATCACATAATTCATTATTATCCATACCGCTTTGAGATAGTTCAATAGTCATCTGGTATTATCAATTCCTATTGAAAGGAGTTTTGAAATCTCTCGATGTCGCCTACTTTGTAAAAATAGCGAGGCGTGGGAGAATCTTCCGAAGTTTCAAACCAAATTTACAAGCACCATGACACATTCATTTGAGTTCACATTTTTATTTTCACAATTTTTTATGTAAGTGGAACGGTGCGTTATATTTTCGACTTTCAATGGTGAATTCATGAACAACAGGAAGTCCTAACTCAAGAAAATCCTGCGATAATAGTTTATTTACTCACTTTTGGTACATAAAATGAATCGAATATTCGAATTTTCAAATAATCCTCACACATTGCAGCAATCAGTCCATGATGAAAGCACAATACACTCACTTAACTATCAATATAATATCAATACCTACTAATAAACTATTAATGCTCTCATTTGATAATAGTTCTATTCGAAACTGAAACAAAATTTTGGATATGTCAAGACCAAGATGTTTCCGCACGGATTATTTCATCTATTATTGAAATCGTGCATCCTCAATGGGGCTCTTCAGGTCCCGAAAGAAGGAGAACACATCATTGAAAGTCTAGTTCAACTTCATAATGAGATCCGAAACACATTTTGAAATGTTTCAAGACATTGTCCATCGTTCACACTATCTATCATCGAATATGAGAACCCCACGTTCCGAACTCGCATTCAATTGTTCATATCGAGAGCTAGTCTGACGAAACAATTGAAGAGTTGGCACACCAGAGGATTTATAAACATAATACTTCAAAAATATACAGCCTGAACATGAACTTCATAAAATGGAGACCATATTATTATACTTGCATATTCAAGTTTTGTTCGTACATGTGAACAGTACAGCAGTTTGATGGCTTTTATATTGGTTAAATCTCTGTTGTTCCTAATAAGACCTTTCTGCTTCAGACACTTTCAAATGTATGTGTTCAGTGAAGGTAGGTTTCTGATCAAAAATTACTCCCGAGTCTCTCTGAATGCCTACAGCCGTTCCAATCTTGAACCATTAATTTCATATGAAAACTTAATAGAATAATTTTTTTTATTACCGGCTCATTTGGACTTGATTTTGACCCACTTTAAACGGACCTTTCAAATTTGGCTAATGTACAGGGTGGGCCAAATTGGACACTGTTAAAGGGAAAGTCCTATTCTTGAACCAGATGGAAGAAAACTGATGTCGGTGCCTGAGGGTCGATTTTTGAAAAGTGGCTACAGATAGTTTTATGGCAAAAATTGTCTGTTCTTATGAATATAACTGCAGAGCATTGAGTTTGTGATAGACATTCTACTCGAGGCAGTGACATCGGCCTTCCTATATCTAGTTCAAGAATATAACTTGTTTTTTTTTAAATACAAGTTTTATTTTGCAACTGTATATGGTATATGGTGACTGATTTCAATGCTTGAGGATCAATTTTCATGACAATGCTTTGGAAATGTTTCCATGAAAACGTAGAATTTTTGACAAAAAAAAAGAGTTCAAAGCACTTTTAGAAAATTCACATTTTCGAAAAAGATCTTGTAACTCTGAAATAAAGATAGATATTGATATGCGGTTTTCATCTTCGTACGGGAATAAGACTGTCCCTTCAAAATTGCCCAATTTCGCCCACCCTGTACATGATTGTGGTGGCATGCATCAACATTTTGTTAGACAAAAAACAAAATGGCAGCTTCAAAATAGCGGAAGTTTTGTAACTATGATCGGATTCGATTCAAAATTGGTATCATGGGGTTTTCGAGGTCGGCGATTATGATTCTTTCGTCAAAATGGGGTAATTCAAGATGGTGGATCCAATACGGCGGACCAGTTTTGAAATTATAATCCAAATCTATTCAAAAGTTGTATTTAGTGGTTTTTTGGTGAAAGATTATGATTCTTTCGTCAAAATTTGAAAATTCAAGATGGCAGATCCAATATGGCGGACGAGTTTTGTAATTATGATCCGATTGTAGCCAAACCTGATTATCTAGGGGGTTTAAGGCCTTTAAGGGGTTGTAGATTGTATTCTTTTGTCAAAATTGGAAAATTTAAGATGGCGGACGAGTTTTGTAATTATATGATCCGATTTTATTCAAAATTGGCATTTGAGGGTTTTTGGGATAGGAGATTATGATGCTGTTGTCAAAATTGGAAAATTCAATATGGCGGATACACTATGGCGGACGGGTTTTGTTATCATCATTTTATTAAAAATTTGTATCAGGGGGTTTTTGGGGTCGGAGATTAGGTTTTTTTCATGAAAACTGGGTACTTACAAAGAATAAAAAAACAAAAAGAAAGCTTTTGTAGCTAGTCAAACACTCTGTATCCCCAAAAGGAAGTATTCCCAAGAACTTATAATCCCCAAAAGTTCAAAAAAAAAAACAATAACTCCTCTCCCTATCCTTCCTAGGAAAGCAAGATGTTTTCAAACATTTTAGGGATTCTCTTTCGTGCGCTCCAAGAGATTTGATTCAAAATTAATTTCATGGAATATGAATATTAACAACCACAATTGCCACAACCTTCAAAATCAACTGAATCAGGTGCATTTGTGGTGCTGCAATAATCATCTATGTCTGAATATCAACAAGTGTAAAGTTGTAAGTTATATGAGATGAATAGTAGTTTAAAAAACTAAAGAAACATCTTTTTATAGATAGCCAAACTGAAAAGAAGTAGAAAATGAAATGATAAAAGTTTGTTGATGAATACACAACATAGAATGTACTGATTATGGTGGTGCTAATATTTTCTATGTTGTGTATTGAGCAACAGACTTTTATTATTTTATTTTCTACTTCTTTTTAGTTTGACTATCTATAAAAAGGTGTTTATTTAGTTTTTTAAGTATTTCTTTTTAGTTTGGCTCTCTAGAAAGGGTGTTTATTAGATTTTTTAACCTACTAATTATTTATAGCTATGTTGATTTTGATGAAGTCTTGAGATATGCTATAGCCAACATAGAGTAGCCAATGAGTTTCCAGAGATTTTCCCAGATTCTCATTCTAGTGGTTCATTTCTATACATACCTAAACCAACCTGACTTACCTTTTTATTATTCTTCCTAATTTTTAGACTCATGAAACACATTGGCAAGGCCCAGAAAGAAGCAACTTCCACCACTTCAAAGTTGAGAATGAGTTTGTGGTGATTTTTGTCATAGGTTCAAGGTCTATTACTACACTAATTACTACAATCTCTGTATGAGTAATGTAGAATCATCAAATTAGAATATTCATAGCCTCAAATTATGATTCTAATTTTTACATGATCATCTTGCCCTGTACATGTTTGAGCTAGTTTGTTACAGATGACTGATTTCAACAAAACTCATCACCTTAACAATGAGAATGGCTTTTTATTAATGGACATTATGAATAAGAATGACTGCATTGTTGGCCATTCATCAAAACATTTTCAATCTGAGATAGTGATACCAATTAGTGATACTGATAGCACAGTTTCATTAGCCACACTGTGCTGATATTGAATTCAGTCTGCCATGCATTTTATTCCTCACTCAATTCGAGAGCTCAAAAATGTTCAAACTGTACCTTTGCTAGTTTATATTTTGACATTTTTCACCCCAATTTTTTTATGTTGATGAAAGCATAGGGTTTTGCATGATATTATCTTGATTCATATTGTGAAAAAGACCTAGACATATTGATGAACTGTCTATCTACATATTAATTAATTCATTGAAAACTAATTAGGTAACAGTCCTTCCAAATTGTTGACTGAAACTACACTTGCACATACCTCTGACCCACTTGAAGAATTTCCTATGCTACCATTATCACTTCCAGACAAACTAGCAACTTCATATTCGAAGAGCTCATATTCATCCTGATCACTGATATCAGCTTTAGAATCGGTATCTGTATCAGTTGTATCCCTACATATGTCTGAAAAGAATTGATTAAATAGCTGCCACACACTGTGAGAGTATGTAGCCTACCAGTCTCCCTATCTTGTAGACTGTAAACGCTTTCAGTGTCTTCCTCAGAAGCTTTTGAGCTTTCGCTCTCTAGTCTGTAGTAGTAATTTCGAGGCCTTTTTCTATCCATCTGGGATAACTGGTCCTCTTCCCGATGTCTTTTTCTCCAAGATGCTGAAATCAAATTACTACAATTATTATCCCACATAACATAAAACTAGGTATTTTATTCTAAACGTGAAAAATTCAAAATTTAAAGACCATCTGCTTTTTCTACCATGCATGCCATTGGTAGGTGTGATTGTTATGGTAAAGTCTTTTATGAATGAGGTGACCTTTGGCTTGTAAAAACTATTCAAAAGCACTAAAATCATGATATACTAGCTATTAAAGGCTTACCAGTGTTTGCTTCCACAGTAGCGGACATTTTGACTAGAAAAAACGATAAGGAATGTGGTTGTGAAATGTGAGTGAACTCGTCCAAATTGCTATCTCCTAAATACAAACGCGCACAAACTTGTGTTTTGTACTTCCACGAAAACAAGCAATGTTCCGGAAACTGGTATGAAGCGAAGTATGAAATTTCGAATGCGCATGCGTTTGCGTTGGCACATGAAAAAAAAACAACTTGACGCTTGACACATTGACACCTTGTCATTCATATTGTTGACATATCAGCTGAGAAGATGATTAAATCTCTCGAACCATTCCTATCACGTGATATGTTGAGATTCGGGTTTTGCTATCAATATTTTTCGTAATGAAACTGTGGAGACTGGGTTTGGTCGGTTTGGTCAGGGAGTTTTATTCTGGTCCACTAATAGCATGGCAATTTTAGGTTCTTCTACAAGCGAATGCGAGTGTATCACGTGATTTACTGTGGTCAATCTGACAATGAGGTTTGGGAATGGTTCGAAAACTTTAGGCTGGTCTGTATAGTTTATGAATCTTGACTACTGTTGTGTTGAATGTCAATGTCAATTGTCAACTAAATCGTTGTCCTGGCACTTTTGACAATGTTGGAGTTCCATGATTCCGTGTCATTTTAAGTTATTAAAAATTGATTCAGCGATACAGCACAGCATTATAGCAAATAGTTTCCCTATAAATTTTCAATTTGATGAAAAACTGATGTAAAGAAAATCTTTTTAATATGCCGTTAGCAAATTTGGGCGAGCCATGGAATCAGCACACCGAAACAGAGGTCAGCAGACGATTCATTCATGCTTTTCCGTTTTTTTCAATCAACGTCTCCCTTCAAAAAACCTGTTGTTATTTCAGTTGATTTTATATAATAGAAGCATGCTTAGCTAAAGTTTTCATTATTTCTGTTCATTTTGCAGCTTTTGGTGGAGTATCCAGGTCCCTAAGAATAGAGTCTGTACGTAAAAGAGTTATGTTTATTTTGGCAACTTTTTTCTCCTGGCACTAGAACTTTGCTAGAAGTACAGGAGTACCTTTGGCAATTTGCATGAACAGCTAATGGAATAACTGCTCAATTCAAAACGAAAAAATGACCATATTGTGCACTAATCTAATTTGTGTACATGTTTAGAGTGGGTGTTAACACAATAGAAGTTCTGCTTATCCAAGTTTATTTGTTGCTTGAGCAAATACTTGAAGTATTCAATTTTTTTTATCATCCTCATCATGAATCTTCCAGGAAAAAGAAAAATATGTTCTTTCTTTATAGACACTGTGAAAACTTTCAAAACAGCTGTTTGGTTGTTTGTAAGTAAATGTAGAGAATGATTCTCACATGTATTGAAAACAACATAATTGCAACAAAACTCCAGAGATTCCTAACATAATGTAATAAATGTAATTGTGTCTGACATTAATTTTTCACACATTTTACTGTTTCTGCTGTTTGGAATGTAAATATCAAGTGTGTGTGTATATCAGTAACAGATTTGATTTTTATAGTCCCAGTCTGGTGATCCTGATGAACAGGCAAACAGTGAAGATGCAGGTCCTGCAGAGGGAGAACATGAAATTGAATTGGGAGAGGTAAGAACTATCAAAAAATGAAAAAAAATCCACCAGCCAAGGTAATATGCCAACTCTGTATCTACTAATTATTTAAAAACAGATAAAGCTTTCTACATAAACCCTGTAATTAGATAACTGTTTTTTCTTTGTACAAAATTAACCTAATAGCTGCACTAATGCTAATTAACAAGGCTGCAACAATGGGTTATCAATTTTTTCCTAGAACCATTGGTATTGTTTGAAATTGTTGAGTACTTGACAGCTCATACAAATCCAGAGATAAAATTAGTCAAAATAGCTCATACAGTTCAATTCACTCTCTTGAGTTCAAAATTTGGCTTGAAAATAATAGAAGAACAATATGGGAATTGTATGCCTTTTTCAGGATTTATACAACTTTGCTAAACATCTCCTCAAATCAATTGCAAGCCTATTTGTGGAAGTAGAAGTAGTTTCCATGCATAATATTGAGAATGTTAGAGACCTATTGAATTAATTAATGTTTTTATTGATGTTTCTTGTCTTTTTTAGGTTGTCAGAAATGGACATGAAAAAGCAGATCCCTCCCAATTTGAATTACTCAAAGTACTGGGCGAAGGTTCATTTGGTAAAGTTTTTCTTGCCCGCAAAGTAGTAGGAACTGATGCTGGCATTCTTTATGCCATGAAGGTAAGTGCACCTTTGATTTTCAATCTATATTGGAAACTTTCTCTATTCTATAAGTATTTTGTACAGGGTCTTCATGTTTATTTTGAACCCCAACTTCTTTATGTATTGTTAAATTTTTTTCAAGGAATGTTTTTTTATATTTTTTCCTGTAGATTTCTTATTGCCAACAGAAAAACAGTTGAACAACTCAAAAAATCCTTATGGGTAACATATATAATTTTTTCTATAGGACACCCTGTATTTCATTGCACTTTTAGATTCTCCGTGGGGAGCTGATTTCATTGATCTCTCATCTCTATTTCATCAATGCATCACTCTTGGGGTCTTGCTGAATTGATTACAGAGATATAGGGTGTGAAAAATTGAGATTTTTTCCAACTTTAGGAATTGTTTGTGTTGAAACCATTCTTCATTGGCCAAAACTTTTTTTAGTTCCTTATCTTAACTTCTGATCCACTATCTACTGACATTTAATTGAAACAAATACAGGGTCATCAGAATTCTAGATTTTTCACCACCCTGTATTTGTTTCAATTAAATGTCAGTATATGATAATATGTTAAAAGTAAAAATTCCTAAAGATGAAAAACTCTCAATTTTTCATTGATGAAATCAGCTCTCTAGGGACAATCTAAAAATGCAATAAAATACAGGGTGTCCTATGGAAAAATTATAAATGTTGCCCATAAGTTTCTTCTCTGTTGGCAAATTTGAAATCTATAGAAAAAAATGTGGAAAAACATTCCTTGAAAAAAAATTGAACAATACATAAAGAAGTTATTTGGGGGTTCAAAATATACGTGAAGACCCTGTACATTTCATACTTAGTTTAAATAATAGCCAGTGGGCTAGCCTCTCTTTTTGTCAAAATTCACTTAATCCTCATAAAATACTGGTTGAAATACTGGATAGTAAAGGATATATTTTTCAAAATACTAAAACTTCATCAAAAATCACATTGGAGATTTCAATTCAGTGACCTGCAATAACTTTTGCCCTATTTCATAACATAATGACTTTATTTCAAATAGAACATCTCAATGTTTACTCACAAGTAGCAATACTATACTTTGAAACTAGATATTATAACCATAGTCCTATTTTTTTACTTTTGTTATTTTATTCAAGTCAAAATACTATAGAATATATGCACAGTATAAAAAAATGGAGTATTACATTCTGCTTGTTATAGTCAGGTTAGATGATATGTAAAAAAATGTGCACCAAAATTTTCCTATGAAATAATATTTTCAAGTTGAGACATCTGATAACTTTGGAAAATACAAATTGATCTGTTTGAATCCAACAAAATTGATAAACTAGGCAATGTCTTAGGAGGCCATGTTTTGCTATTCAGGCATAACTTTCAATTATTGTAAACAACTTTTCTCAATATCATTTTGCAAAATTTTCTGGAATAAGGGTACTTTACTCTTGAGCAATTTGTATATTTTTTGACCTACCCTGTATGCTGTTTGACTTGCAACCATTTTAAGTGCACCTAAAATGATTACCAAACATGCACTAACTTTCGGCACTATCTGTATTTTGTTTGTTCATTAAATAGATTCTCATATGTTGCACACTTAAATGACCACACTGTATATTTATAACTCTCATTATGGAAAATGTTCTATGAATAGACTTATTTATTATTATTATTATTATTAATAATAATACTTCCAAAAAACATCGAAAAACCCTCCAAACAGTTTAAGTTGCACATCATCTAAAGCATGGAAATTTAGTCTTCAATTGGAATAGAAATTTTTCTGTTTGTTGAATCAGCCCTTTTTCTTAATTCCTCATAGGGTTTTCAGGAATAAAAGAACAAACTTATCTGAAAATACATTTCATAGTAATTGATTTCTTCATTTTTTAATAAAATAAAATGGAATTTTTCGAAAATTTGATTAGGTACTGAAGAAGGCTACCCTCAGAGTTAGGGACCGTCACAGAACCAAGATGGAGAGAAATATACTGGTTGATGTTGAACATCCTTTCATAGTCAAGTTGCATTATGCTTTCCAAACTGAAGGAAAACTGTATTTGATATTGGATTTCCTCCGGGGAGGGGATCTTTTCTCCAGACTGAGCAAAGAGGTGAGAAAATTCCATGATTTCTGAACGCTAGGATTCCAAAAACAGGAATCGTTTTTTAGGTTATGTTTACCGAAGAGGATGTTAAGTTTTATCTGGCCGAATTGGCTTTAGCGTTGAACCACTTGCACTCTCTAGGAATTATTTACCGAGATTTGAAGCCCGAAAATGTGCTATTAGATGCCGATGGGCATATAGCTCTGACGGATTTCGGGTTATCAAAGCTGCCTTTGGAAGAAGGAAAAACTTACAGTTTTTGTGGGACAGTAAGTATTTTGAGTTGTATGTTGTACTGTTGCTATCACAATTTCTTGAGACCGCTCAGCCGTGAAAAATATATTATCAAACAATTTTATCGTCTTGCATATGATGTGAAGACGTTTTTCATTATGAATTTTACATGTATGAAGTCTCATGACTATGAAAATTTCAACTTATTATAATTCCCCCCCTTCCCTCCCGATATTTATTCTCGGGTGAATCTGGACTTTTGCCGTCTTGGAGGCGCCAACGAATCAAACGAAAAATTGTAATATTGTTTGCCATCTTGAATTCTCAAATTTTGACTGTAAATTCTTGTTTCTCAACCTCCAAAACCTCCCCACATAAGGAAGTCACGAACCGAGGCACAAACTCTTCTGCCATTTTGAAGGTAACATCTGGAATTTTCAAATTCTGCCTAGACATTCCGGTTTGTTAACCTCAAAACCCCTTCTTATAAATTTTCAGTTCAATCGGATTATATATGAAAAACTTGTGGGTCATCTCATATTTTCAAATTTCCACTAGAAATTCCAACCTGGTGATACAAATTTTCAGTGAAATCGAAAGATCATTAAAAGAAATGTTCAGAATCGATAGTAATGAACATTTCATACAATATCAAAAATAAAAGATTGAAATCCAATTTTTCAATCACCAAACTAGACAACAAGATTTATTCCATCTTGATATTGCTAACCCTTCAATAGGACAAAGAAGATTTACCCACACTGCTCTAATTGAATAGAATAAATTACTGGATAATACAAAAAATTTAAGAAATATAGTCAAATTCAAATATGAACTTGAAAAATTAATCATTTCTTAACGAAATGAATGATTAATCTTTTCTTGTAATAAAATGAGTTTTGTTTATCATAATAAAATTAATGATTTGTACAGGGTGAACAACTAAAAACGGCTGTCATATCTATAATTCTTCCAAGTTTGATAGTTAATGTCTTCCCTTGGCGAAAAGCTATCATGTTGCGGTTTTCGTTGAGATCTAGTTCCTCTATTACATCCTGTAATGATATGCATACCATCAGATTTATTCTATCTCAAACTTGTATCATTATTCGTTGCTGAGATATGGCCAACAGCCGTTCTTAGTTGTTCACCTTGTACTCATTTGATATTTAATGTATTACAATATATTATTTAGGAGTTTGTTATAATTGTGTAGTTAGGTATTAGTGTTAACTACTTTCCTATACCATAACCTGTTAATGACAGTCACACTTTTAATAAATAAATGAATAAACTCGCCTGGCGGCGACTAGACCAGTGAAAAGCAAGGTCAAATGTGCCCTATCTCTCCACACGCTTTTTTCTTAACCGGAACGTACCATAGCTTCGACCGTTCTTAGGTGGAGTACATGGCGCCCGAGGTCGTCAACCGTAAAGGGCACACGTTCGCTGCCGATTGGTGGTCGTTCGGCGTGCTGATGTTCGAGATGCTGACCGGTGCGCTGCCCTTCCAGGGCGCCAACAGGCGCGACACCATGACGCAGATTCTCAAGGCCAAGCTGACGATGCCGAGCGATCTGAGCGCCGAGGCGCAGAGTCTGCTGCGCGTGCTGTTCAAGCGCAATCCCGCCAATAGGGTGGGGGCAGGTAACTTTTACACTGAGTAAATAACACGATAGATGAACACCGCGATTCGTTCATGAATAAACTAATAAATGAGGAATCGCGAATGGTGGGGATAACCTTGTGAGTGGTAACTTTGTTATAATTGACTTCTGAGATACAAATGTCTATAGATTCGGAGTCCTCGTGACATTTTATGTCGATCTAGATAGATGGTTTTCATTGAGAAATTCAGAAATTTCTGCTAGAGAAACAAATGGGTATAGATTCGGAATCTTCGTGGCATTTTACGTTAATCTAGCTGGATGATTTTCATTGAGAAATTCAGAAGTTTCTGTGAGATACACGTATATGGAAATATTACTAATATTTTTATTTCTGAAATCATCATGTTGAGGATGCAAACCTACATATCGAACACTACAAGGAGATCATCTTCCGATAAGGCCTGGTTCAGTAGAAACTGCTCTAAAGCTATCACTTCCAAACAGACAGCATTCCATCAATGGCAGAAAAATCCAGGCCCTGAGACTAGAGCAGAATATGTCGAGGCTAGAGACATATGCAATGAGACAATTCGATCATTAAAGGATGCTTCTAATGCCAAAATATGATCATAACTTGTTGAATGTCTTAACGGATCCCGTTCATTTTGGTCCTTCGCCAAAGCTGTAGGAAGAAACTTCACTTCCAGCTCGTTTCCTCCTCTAACCAAGGAAGATGGAACACTAGCCACAACTGCCCAGGAGAAAGCCAACATTTTTGCGCATTTATTCGCTGGAAATTCCACTGATTTATCGGGAAAACAACCTCCAAACCTAACGCCAATTGACAGTCATATGCCCGAGATCACCTTTCGCCAACGTACTATATGAAGATTTCATTGGGTCTCAAAACCAACAAAGCTTGTGGCTCCGACGGAATCCCACTGATTGTCCTCAAGAAATGTGCTCCCGAACTAACACCTGTTCTCTGCAAGTTGTTCAACTACTCTTACAAATTAGGGTTATTCCCGCCCAACTGGAAAATTGCAAGAGTACAACCAGTTCCTAAACTAGCTAGTTTTCTCTCAAACAGGTTTCTCCATGTAGTGACCGACGGAGTTTCATCTTATCATAAGTGCTGGTGTTCCGCAAGGATCAATTCTAGCATCAACACTATTTCTACTCCATATCAACGATTTGTTGGAAGCAACTTCATGTACAGTACACAGCTTCGCGGATGATAGTACCCTCCATACCGCCTTCTCTTCCAGGGCTCCAATATCATCCAGGCAAATCAGAAACGAACGAGGGAGAAATGTTGACAACATAAATATGATCTTGGCAACAATTCTCCAATGGGACTCAAAACAAAACACGAGGATGGCTTTTCTCTAGAAAAGCCGATCTCACTGTGCCCAACATAAGCTTGTCAGGAGTAACCATACCTTTGAAGATATCCATTTCGATGCTTGGTATTACTATCAGCAATAACCTTTCTTGAGAAAATCACGTCCATCCCAAAAACTTGGTTTTCTGTTTCGGGCCAGGAGCTATTTCACTTCCAGTCAACTGCTTATGATCTACTAGGCATAGATCCGACCTGTCCTGGAATACTGTTTCCATATATGGAGTGCAGCACCCAAACATACCCTGAAACTGTTGGATTCTGTTCAAAAAAGGACAATTCGTCTCGTGTGTGATGCCTCGCTCACAAACTCACTCACTCTGGAACACCGTAGAAAAGTTGGCGATCTGGCTCTATTTAATAGATATTTTCATGGACGATGTTCTTCTGAAATATCAACAATTTTTCCTCCCTTGGCAGACCCCGCCCGATCAACCCGTCGAGGTGGGGTTTCACACCCACCCCTTGGTGGTCACTTTGGAGACCTGCAGAACATCTCTTTCCAAAGACTTGAGTCATATAACGTACAGAAATTTAAGATGAACACCAATTTCTACCTTATTTCCCTTGGTTCTCATGATGTTCTCTGAACATTTCAGGATATCCCTTTTCGTGGGAACCCAAACGTAAAAAAAAAATTATTCAAATTTTAGTTCGATGGATGGTTTTCGTTGTAGGTCCGGGCGGCATCGACGACCTCAAGAATCACGAATTCTTCGCCACCATCGACTTCGACGCTTTGGCGGCCAAACGGATCCGGCCCCCGTTCCAGCCGACGGTGAGCGGGCCGGAGGACGCCTACTTCGATTCGGAGTTCACCAGCAAGACGCCGAGGGATTCGCCTGGGGTGCCTGCCAGCGCCAATGCTCACGAGCTGTTCAGAGGGTGAGGAACGTTGCTCGATTTCCTTTATTATTCCAAGACACACTAGCCATTTTTCCTCGGAAGTTAACCAAACTAGATTTACTGGAGAGTTTGTACACAGAAATGACCACTGTTAGTGTTTCTGAATGTTAAGATTCATTGATTTACACATTGCATTGTGACAGGAGCACCATAGTCTTCCCTCGCTTTTTCATTAAAAATTGTCTGAATTTGACAAGACATTTCATGAACGTCAGAATTGAAATATGATAATTTCATAAACTATTGAGAAGAAACCACAAATGAACATGTCCTGCTGTGTAATGAATTGTGGAAATTCTGAAAAGAATGGATTTCATTTATTTAATTTTCCGAAGGAAATATCAACCACTCTCATATGGAAGGGTATGAAATGGCCTGGATGGAACATTAATCTGAAGACAAGCAGAATTTGTGGGGTACATTAATCGAAATTCACTTCTCATTACAGCAGATTAGAATGAAACTATATTTTAGGCCCATTATTGAACAGAAGATTTTAAGATCCGTTAGAGAGAATCTGCTGTTCCACATTTACAAAACTGACTATTCAAAAAAAATCTATTATCATCATCACACAAAATGCAAAAGCTCCAAAATGGCGGACGAGTTTTGTACTTATGATCCGATTCTATTCAAAATCTGTAACTGGAGGTTTTACGACAGGTCGGGAGATTATGATTCTTTCGTCAAAATCGGGAAATTCAAGATTCTAAAGGCACGCTTTTAAACAATGCACTAAAAAGGAAAAAAATAATGTCTTTCATGTTTGATCCAGAATATTCTGTGAGTGAAAGATTCAAAAGCTTGCCGCGAATTCAAAATTGGACATCCTGCGCGGTAGTGTGCCATACGCCTTCGTGAAATGATATTCACGGGTTTAGTTATCATTTTTATTTTTTTTAAGATTCAGTTTCGTAGCGCCCTGTCTGCTAGAGAACGGCAACCTGCCGAAGAAAATGGAGACCCCCATGAATTCGGTGAGGACTTGCGATCGCAATTTCTTCGACGACTACCATCTGATGGACACCATCGGTGGTGGCAGCTACAGCATCTGCAAATTGGCCAAGCATAAAACGACCGGGCAGCAATACGCAGTCAAGGTACAACAAAGTAGTAGATTTTAGCTCCAGGTTGTGTTGTCTTAGACAAAATACCGTGACAACTGAAAATTCAGTAGAACTGGCAACCCTGCAGCGAACGAAAAGTTAGTGTCTGCGGACGAAGAGTATTTGCCTTCTGAAATAGTCTGTTGTTCGTTTGGAAATTATAACGTAAAATGTGATTTTTTTGTATAGGTCGAAGAATAGCTATTGGTGTATTTAGAGCGCAAAGTGATAGATTGCCGCTCGAAAAAGGAAGTTACCGCGCGATGCGGAGCGGAGCGCGGTAATCTTTGGAGAGCGGCAATAACACTTTGTGCTCGAAATACACACAAGATTTTTTCTACTAACGCAGCTTTTGGAAATAACTACCCTGAAAGTATGAGCGATTGAAATAGTTGAAAAAGTTCTTATCCATATGTCCAAAGGAAACAAGAAAAGAAAAATTGAAATAACTGACAAGTCAGAAAAAAAATGTCGGGCCTACCGAGAATTGAAACTGGACCACCAGCGTGGCAACCTGAGCTTCAGACCTCTGAGCCATAGTACGATAAACTCTGCAATCAAATCGAACATTATTCATTGATGCAATAAAATAAAGATACACTGTCTTTCTGATGACAACAAAGACTTTAAATATAAAGTATAATTCATCGTTTTCAACAGATATGCTTCATCGGGAGCTTCTCGTAGAAATTTGTTGGTATATACCTTCAGCGGTGAATGTTTTGGATTTTTCTCGCTTTATATCCAATAGATTGTTTCTTGAGAAATGCGATAAGTTTCAGATACTTATTGATTCCGATATTATCTTTAACATTCAAGCATGTATACGTACCATGGAATATTATAGACCAATGAGTTGATGACTTCAAAGTCTTTGATTTTTTACCAAAATAAGCCAGTAAAACGTTTTCTGAATATATATTCACTATCTCGGAGTGGCACCAATTTATGAATGTATCATTATAATTCATATTTCCTCCTTGATTTCCCCGGTGAGAGATTCAAACTCTTGCGCTTTCGACTATATCATCAGGAAGAAGGTGTGTTTGATGATTCACTGTCACTATTTTCCATCATGAAAGAATTGGGGGGCTTCAAGAATAGATAAGTATAGGTTACATAGATGTGCGAGCGTTTTTTCAATATTTCCGCTCACGAGCGCAAATGCTGTCAAAGAATGACATTTCTGGGAAAACGTCAACTTTGTGCTGGAATTTGAAAGCGTCAAAGGCTACTTTGCTAAGCGTTTGTAAAAAAAAAAAATGTTTCTCTTGTAGGTGGTGTACAAATCGTTTTTCGACTGCAGAGAAGAAGTGGAAATTTTACAGAGGTACAGCAAGCATCCGGGAATAGTGACTTTGAAGAGCGTTTACGAAGACGAGACGAAAGTGTATATGGTGCAACAATTTCTCAAGGGAGGGGATTTACTAGATTACATGATGATCAAGGTAAAAATAATATTCGCCATGAAATCTTATTTCTATTTGAAAATTGCTTTTTTTGAATGATTCAATCTATGTTCTCGTTTGTTTTTTTTCTAGGTTTGCTTGTCAGAACCAGAAGCAGCGGCAGTGTTGAAAACGTTGGCTTCAACAGTGGCGTATTTGCACGAAAACGGCGTCGTGCATAGAGATTTGAAGCCGGAAAATATTCTATTTGCTTCCGAAGACTTGTCTTTGGAAAGCGTAACAATCTGTGATATGGGTTTTGCCAAACAGGTAAAGAAATAAAATGGCGATCTATTATTAATTCGCTGTGAATCACTCTGCGAAAACTATTAATTTTGTTTCCAAATATTAACAAATGTTTGCCATGATTTCAATTAATTTACTTAACAGATATCCCCATGGGATCAGCATTTTGATTTTTTTACCTTGACTTGAAAATTTTCAGATTTCATACTAAAATTAAAAAGAGGAAAAGATTTGATTGTTTGTTTGTTTGTATGTATTGAATAGGCTTCGAAACTATTGGATTGATTTGGTTGAAAACTGGTGGGCAGGTAGCTTAGAACCAGGAGAAGGTTATATGATACTGTTTATCCCGGTACCATTAGGAAATTCAAGATGGCGGAACCAATATGGCGGACGAGTTTTGTGATTATAATCCGATTCTTTTCAAAATTGGCACCTAGGAGTTTTCGTGATCGGGGATTATGATTCCTTCGTCAAAATTAAGAAATTCGAGATGACAGTTTCAAAATGGCGGATTTTGTAATCCGATCCGATTTTATTCAAATTTCGTATCTGATGGTTCTCGGGGTCGGAGATTATGATTCTTTCGTGAAAATTAGGAAATTCAAGATGGCTGACCCAATATGGCGGACGAGTATTGTAATTACGATCCGACTCTCTTCAAAGTTGTTATCTGGGTGTTTTCGGGGTCGGAGATCTTTCGTCAAAATTTGGAAAGGGCGGGATTTGGAAATTCAAGACGGTGGAACCAATATACCAGACGAGTTTTGTAATTATATACCGATTCTATTCAAAATTTGTAAGTGGGCATTTTCGGGATCGAAAATTATGATTCCTTCGTCAAAATTAGGGAATTGAAGATGGTAGATCCAATATTGCGGATGAGTTGTGGAATTATGTTCCGATTCTATTCAAAATTTCCATCTGGGGTTTTTGGAGTCGGATATTTTGATTCTTTCGTCAAAATTGGGAAATTCAATTGAACTAAAAAGAAGTTGAAATAAATGGTAATTTGAAAAACTAAAGGAACACGCTTTTATAGCGAAACTAAAAAGAAGTAGATAGCCGTTTGGACAGAGTGTCAATATTCTAATCCGCATTCGCTTGCCGGTCGTGGGTTCGATTCCCATCGACTGCAGAAATTTTTCTGATGGCCCAAGAAAGTGTTTGGGATCACACGTTGAAAGGTAAGGCCCCCGTCATTCCTTGCTCGCACAAGACTCTCGAAGACTTCTGAGGGTTGCTCGTAAGGGGACAACCGAATGACGGAAAGAACAATCTCAGAATTTCAATTTCAGAAAATAAAATAATAATAGTGCCTGTGTTTGCGAGGTCTGTTAGTTTCAATATAATGACTGATAAAAAACAGTCTCGAACCATAACGCCCATATAAATTGTCCAATTTTGAAAATCAGAATTAAATTAACCAGACGTTGACGACTGTTAACTCTATTTTTCAAATGGCTCCTCAATGTTTATCTCTTTGAGATGTTTTTCCCTATACAATCGTGTTCAAGCGGATCATAGTTAGATTGAACACACAATTCACATCTACTGATTGCATTTTAAAAAATCCCTGTCAAACAGAGGTAACTAAAATCTTTTGAAAATCATCACCTTTTCAGATATCATCATTTCGGGAAGGTGGAATGACGATAAAATACTGAGTTGTACTCGATGTAATGACTAACCTATTAGAAAATGAATTGAAAATTGATTGATCCGATCCAAAGTTTTGACGTTTCGAAAATGGAAACCATTTTTCTTGTCCACTTTCCAATATTAAGAAATAGTACATTGAAGTATATTAAGTTGATATTAAGGTCTTCCGAACACGTGAAATGGAGCATGTGTTTTGAATACCAGTTATCTACGAATACTTTTTACCATTTTTTTTAATTAAAGCAGCAAGCTGGAGTAAATAATTGAACCAGACAATAAATGATGATACAGAAATCCGTGCCGTCAAAATTAAATCCTTATTATAATTGACGTTAAAAATGTTGATTGTTCACGTGTGGAGCAATTCAGCTTCTGTATCGGTAGAGCACGTCCGATACATACAGGAGAAATCGTGAAAACTGTCGATTCTGATTGGTTCTCGAAAACAAGAGTGGAATAGTCTGAGGAAAAAAACGCTCCCCGTGTTGCAGTTGCGTGCGGAAAACGGTCTTTTGATGACGCCCTGCTACACGGCTAACTTCGTGGCGCCCGAGGTGCTGAAAAGGCAGGGCTACGACGCCGCGTGCGACATCTGGTCGTTGGGCGTCGTCCTCTACATCATGCTGTCTGGCAGGAGCCCGTTCAGCACCAGGGCCAACGACAGCCCGCAGAAGATCCTGCAGAGGATCAGCAGCGGCAAGCTCGACATGCAGGTGAGCCCTAGTCGTTCTAAGTGGACTCATTCATTCATTTATTTTTTTATTTATTCATTGAAAACTGTTGAGGCTGCGATACAATTGAAGTTTAATGCAATAAGTTTCAAAGGTCTAGATAGATAGATAGATACTTTATTAATCTCTACAGGTCATTTTCACAACATAAGACAATTAAAAAGGGGGGGGGTAACGGTTTTCCTTGTAGATCACTTCATTTTGCTAATATCAGTACATGGTTGGATAGACAATGAATATACCTTCCAAAAAAAATATAAAGGAGATGTTTCCATTTAAAAAAATAATCGATTACGTCACCACAACTACGCGGATGACGTTGAGAAAACTCCGTTTGTATATCATCAAGAGGTGTCAATTTGAAAATAAAAATCGACCTGTCTCAGGATTTTTCTCCAAATCCATATGGGTTAGACATAATGAATTTATTCCATACATTTCCACCATCTATATGTCTACCTCACAGAGCACCAACTGGTCGAAGATATCCCCCGAAGCCAAGCAGCTGGTGTCGGAGATGCTGCACACGGCGCCCCAAAGGCGGCCGACCGCCGCCCAGCTGGCCGAGCACCCGTGGGTGGCGTCGCGGGCGGCGGAGTACCGCCCGCGGCCCGCGGAGAAGGGCGGCGTGCAGAGGCAGAAGCCGCCCCTCGCGGCGGGCAAGGAGCACCTCAAAGAGACCGTGGCCGCCACGTTCAGGGCCATCGCCACGTCGCCGCAGGTGAGAGAGAGATGGTTGTTATTTATAATAGTAATATTAATAATGATGAATGAATCAAAGTTCATCTCGACGTTCCTATATGTAAAGAGCCCATTTTATCTATATAAGGTGTTTTTGAAAAAAGTGCACATATTCAGCACATAAATATGATACAGTCTAAGGAATATTCCCATGATATCAGATTTACTATAATTCTTCTAATTAAAAAGAAATATCATCCCAATAAATCAAGTTCGCCACTTCAAAACAATTCAACTTATTCATGATGAAGAGAAGATCGTTGATTTAATTGCTGTTTCCCAACTCGGTGCTTCTCGCTGTGGCAATTGGAAAGCGGCTCATATTGTGTTCAGAAATTTTGTGAGAAACCATGGGATCGCGCGAAGTTCTGTGGCTCTGACACACTTTAGCGCCACTGTGTATAATAATAGTAGATTGTTTTATTAGGATCAAAAGTGACACTTTGTTTGACAAGCGAATTTTGCATTTGCGAGGCGGAGCGTTTAGCGAAGCCGAGCGAAAGCAAAATTTGCGAGTCGAACAAAGTCACTTTTGATCCGAATGAAACATGCTATTTTGTCTGCAACCGAAACAATTAACTCAAATAAACATGTGAAGTACCCACCAATGCCGTGCCATATGTATATGCAATGCAACAAATATTGACAAATAATCCATGTGGTGAGAATATTCTACCTGCATTAACAGCAGGTTAGGTTTTCTAGGATGTTCGAATTGTAGTTTCAATATAAATAACCACAGAGTGACATATTTGTGTATGGACCAGGTGCTCTAATGGCAAATACCGCGCCAGTGCCAGCTATAGGAACAAGACGTGGAAAATGTTAGGTTAGTGAGCATATCAACAATGATAATAGAGATCATATTTTATTCCTACCCATACTACACTGTGTTTGACTTGATAATCAAATGAAGGTAAACAATATCGTTGTTTGAGACAAAAAAACTATTGCTTGCCGTGATTATTCAAAAACAAGTTATCCATCCCGAGAATAACGAATGAAATACAGATCACGCAAGTATTTGAATCTTGAAGGCTTTCCTGATCAAAACAAAAATACTTGACCGAGATGTTTATAATTTCAATACTGAACTATAATAAGGTCTATTTATATCTCCAGCATGGGTATGAAATGCCAAATCTGCTGAAATCGAAAACAAATCAGGTATGCGTCTCAACCCAAATTACCAACCGTCACAATGTTGTTTATTCTTGATGACGTTCAGTAGAGCCTTTTTAGTTCCTAGGAGCCAAAGTTCAACTTTAGCTCCTAGGAACTAAATATGTTGCCTAGCAACATATCTATTTTTGTGTCAGTAATAGAAACGTCAATTCAAGAGCTAATTTTGGTATCAAAATGTACGTTTTTTGTGTCGGTTGCAGAAAAAAAAATCCTTTTCTCTAATCTCAATCTATTTCAACCTCGGATTTGATTTTATAGATAGCCCATTTGGGGCCGGTAGCGATGTCCGAGCTGGCCAGGCGGAGGTTCAGAGACAAGGCGCTGAACAGATTGCAAGACGAGGCGCGAAAGGAATACTGAAACGGCGTCCTTGTCTTATTGTTCCTCCTTTGCTGCCAAAGTCCCACCTGAGCCTCAACGCAAAAGGTCACTGGACCGTTGCTCGGGTTCCTTGAGGAACCGTGTTTGTTTCGATAGGTCATAGAAACCGGTATAGGCTTAGACCGTTCAGGATCTCGCTTCATCCCAATGGACACCTACCAATAGGTAAAACATGCCTAACTATCGATTTATTGCTGAGTCATCGCAACGTCAGATGATGACCTTGAAATCCGCCAATATTGACAATAGTTGAGTTCAATATTGACATCAGACTGCTCCGATCAATCTTTTTCGTTCGCTTATGACATCTAGATGTAGGGGAAGTAAATCTCATCCGTTCGGCAATTGAAATCGGAGCAATTCGACGACGATCTTCATGCTCCGAGAATCTTGACAGAGCAAAGCGTTAATCTGAATTTGTGAGGTCAAGTGTTAAATGTCAAATTTTAAATGCGTTGTATCAGTTTATAATTCACTTTTTGTGAATTTATTGAGGAAATCAATGTTAAACAACAAATCTAACCACATAAATCCGTTGAGTAATATGTATTTTAACAAGAATTAAAATACTTTAGATAGGTCTGTCATGACAGCGCTCTGCACCTGACAAGTAAATCCTTCACATCTCGGATGGAATTGCTGAACTCGACTAATGTCACAGTTTAATCCTCTTAGAACGATATACCTATTAATGAACAATATAGACAATCTCTATCTGTTTCTATAGCGCAAAAGAAAGCCGTTTTTTGAAGACAAATATCTGACACATCATCGTGACATCTAACCTATTAATCTTTCACATAACATTATTTATGGATATTTATGCACAAAGATCTAAAATACCTAATGATATCCTATTCCAGTTTTCTCTTTCAGTATAATATACAGGGTGTTCCGTTGGGAAACGGAAATAATTTAGCGGTGGATAGAGGTGACCAAGGTGGTTCTGAATATACCATATATGTTGGGTCTTACATGACAATTCTTGTCATTTCTTCGAAGGCTCTTAGCATACGAACCACATGGTATATTTTTTTGATATTTGGTAGACGTGTTTTTCCACTGCTACACCAAGCGACTTGTATATCATGTGAGTAAACATTCCTTTTATTCGAACTACTACTGCAATATAACCACATCTTCAAATGGGCTAGGATGACTTTTTCATATTGAATATGTGATAATCAAGTGTAATTTTCAAGTAGTTCAGATAGGGTTGTAATTTAGATGAAAAAAATTTATAATATCCATCAAACCTCTGCTACTGAACATGTCCGCGAAACGTAAACAAACAACAGAATCAGAATGTCATGACCTCATGAAACGATGAAACACATACTCCTTCGAATCAAAATATGGTACTACTTTAATTGCATGCGCATCATGTCACCAAATCCTCTTCAACCTGACACCAGTTGTTGTCCATATCGAATCGACTCGTGGGGCCTTGATTTTGGATGCGCAGAAGACGTCATATGTCAATCGTGGTCGAGTCACTGAATAGCAAAATATCTGAAGGGTATCTCCCATGCGTAATCAATTTGCGCCTTCGAAGTGCCCACCTGATGTTGGGTTGGATAATTGTTATTTTTATTTCACCATCTAAATAATTAAAAAAAGTTGGGTGAAGAAATGCCCTTAGCCCTAGCCCTAGAAATAGGGCATGAAATGCAATAAACATGAATGAAATTTCGTTATCTCAACAGAGGGTTTTGGGAATATTTTTTGTCGCCTGATATTTCTGACTATACGAAAATCAACAATAACAAAAGATGCTTTGGAGTTCTGGGAGAGATTGATTTGGTTTTCCAAAATAATAATTTAGGAATCATACAGTAAAGGGTGAAATATTCTTTATCCTTTACAATGTTGGCGTGTTTATGCATTTACTACTATCAGTCCATATTATATGATCGAAGCGAGGTTCTGTATGGTCTAAGCGTGACTTGCTCGGGTTTCTTGGAGAAGCCGTTTGTTTCCATAGTTCATAGAAACTGGTATATGTATAGGGGTTTGGATTCGTGCTTTGATTGTGGACTTTTTTGTGTAAGATAAACGCACAAAAATACAAAAGTAGAGTTTTCACGATACAGGGTGTTGGGGGTGGTCGATGCGTAGCTTTTGGGAAGGTGATAGCAAGGCTCTGGGCATTATTTAGATTTGCAAATACCCAGTGTTTTTTTCAAATTTAAAATGTATATTTTTGATGGATGAACTGAAATATTCACAAATTTTATTCCTGTAGATAGGATACCTAGCTATCAATTATTTTCATATTATACTAAGAATGAATATACAGGGTGTTTCATAATTGAAAGCTGATCCTAAAGGGCGATGATCCTTGGATGATTTTAAGAAGAGAAGTTCATATCAACATAAATGTCCTGAACCTCTTAGTTTTTGAGCTACAGGGTGTTGAAATCAGAAGCGTACAGCGTTTTTTTGAACAAAACATTCAATATCAGGTCTACGAGGACATCACTGGTAAAAGTAAAAGTTTGATCTTCGTCCCAAAACAAAATGTGTCTACTGAATTACCAAAAATTACCAAAAACAATATCCAAGAACTGAAGGAACAAAATTCTTTGGTTTGTATTTTTTTACGTGAAAACGGTACGTTGTATGAAAGTAAGTCAAGGAACCAAATTTGCTCCAAAATGAATAAGAATTGAAAAAAAAATCTGGTTCTCAGAAAAATCAGTGGCGTACTATTTTTTTCTTAAAAAATTGTCAGTTCAAACCCCGTACGGACGCCACTGGTGAGAATTTTTAAATATCTTTCACGTGAAAAAATGCTCCTCAATAATGAAAAGGTGTATACAAAATATCATAACAATATCTAAGAGTGATGAAAAATTATGATGAAAAACTCATTTTTTTCTTGAAATTTCATCACCCTGTAGCTCAATAACTAAGAGATTTAAGACATATGTTGATATGAACTTTTCTCTTTGAAACATCCAAGGATTTTCGCCCTTGAGGATCAGCATTCAATTATGAAACACCCTGTATATGTGGAAAAAAATTCACAATCAAAGCATGCTCGATCACACTTTAATACTAAGTAACCACAATCAATTTAGACACCCGATGAATAGGGTTTGAACGGGCAAAAAGTAGCGTGAGTTTGTTCTATATTTTTCGAGAAACCTTTCCTATTCTTGACATAGGTCATCATCACATAAATTAAGTGTTAAATTATTGTGTAATTCTAGCTATTGAGTGTTCAGATGTCATGATGGATAAAGAGGCGTTTTCTAGATATCAACTGTCTAGTTCTGTAACTTTTCCTTGAATTTATTTTTTTCTCAATTTCTGTGATAGTTACTAAACAACTAACTATTGAGTGAAATTAGTCTATTAGTTCTGATAATGTGGCCAGAATTGGCTCCCAATATTTGTGAGGCTGATATACATTAGAGTCCCTGTATGTATAATTCCCTGTATATATTTGTCAGTTTTGTTGTAATAAGAGTACGGACACTATGACAAGCAGTGACGGAAGGCATAACCCCAAATTCTCAAAATGACTTTTGAACAAAGACATGGATATGCTTTTTCATGCACTTCGGATCTTCTATCCTCTACTGCCGCGGTGAAGGGTACATCCATATATCTTTCTCTGTCTTTATTTTCATAAAGAAGTGGCGTCTCATCTCCCTGGCGAAAAGGGGTCATAGTTTGTAAATCAATTTGTTGAATGTATTTCTCGATATACTTAACAACGGGTATATGTACTTCAATTTATTTGATTTTAGGATACACTAGTTTTTCAATAGATAGAGTCAGGATTTAGTAGCCTGATGGGTAGAATGTAAATGAATGGGAAGAACAATTCAACCAATTAACAAACTTATATTTGTTCTCATAACATACTAAGACATTTCATAGGGCATGAACGATCAGAAAATTCGACAAATACAAGTATAATGATTATAATTCAAGAATATATCCTATGACAAGAATACAAAATTTCATATAATGGTAGAGTAAAAATATGGCGACATAAACTTTAAATGCTCACAATCTAATAACCATCGCGCCTAGCTGAAAGCTTTTTCGACACTCTCTGCATTCCATCTATTACCATTATATTTAGAATTATGAGAAATATGTTGCTCCTAAATAGCAACTTTACTTAGAATACCTTTTAATTTGTAATCGATTTCATTGATTCTTGTTTTAAGATACTGGAATTGACTATAATGTTGGTTGAAATATATTCCGAAACTATCAATTTGGGTCTTGAGTCGATTCAAAATTGCCTGTATTCTTGTATTAGCAGTTTCCTCACACTCTTTCAAAGATTTTTGATGAGATAGTTGAAGATCTGGAATTATTTCCTTATAATAGTTGTGAATATTCGTAACTTGCAGTCTTGTTTCCGGAAATGGATATCAAGGGAGATATACCCCTTGGAAAGAGGGGTTATCAGTTTCAAAAAGTGTAACGAGTTGGAATAATTTCGAGATGAATTCTAATTGACTTATATTCAAGTCGTATACAGGGTGTTTTATAATATATGCGCAGGACTTGAGGATATGATAGCTCGTCCAGAAATATAAAAAAGTTTTTATTAACTAAACCTTTGAAATCCACTATATTCGAGATACAAGGTGTTGAAATTTAAAAATGAAAAATCGTTTTTTGAGAATATGTATCTCTTTAACCATTTATCGCACACAATACAGCTTTCATAAGCATTTTCTACCCATAATAAGTTATGTTTTCTTTTCAATTCATAATTGGTGAAGATTTTGAAGGAGTAGTCTGTGTTTTTTTTTAAACGTCAGAACAAGTAACAAAACCAAACGTGAACTTCATGATTGCAAAATTCAAGTAACAATAACAAATCATACATTAACTAATTGTTGGAAATATCCACCGTTAGCTTCAATGAAAGCACCAAAAAAATTAGCCATGTTCTTCAATGTTACCTTTTTTGTGTAGAAAACATTGGCGGTTCAAATGGGCGGCTCAAAACTGTAGTAGAAGTTGGGAGAAAAACAGTTACTACCCCTTCATAATCTTCATCAATTATGACTTAGAAAAATATATTCGTCACAAAACATAACTTATTGTGAGTAAAAAGTTCTATGCTTCTGCGCGATAAATGGTTCCAGAGATATTCGCAAAAAACGATTTTTTTTTTGAAATTCCAACAATATGTATCTCGAAAATGGTAAACTTCAAAGAGTAAGTTAATGTAAACTTGTTTTTATATTTTAGGACGAGCTATCACAACCTGAAGTCCTGTGCATATATTATGAAACACCCTGTATATGAATAATGTTGTACTAAATTTCGAAAACTTCATTTGATTAATGATTCGGTAACCATTTCTTCATGAGAAATTCATGAAATATTCGAGAATGAGAAGTTTTGGGGTTAAATACTATAAAATACCCCTCAAGCTGGTGAGATTATTTTACTGATAATCTGTTTAACATTGTCTAGATGACCTTATCTGTGGAGATATTACAAAAAAACTGATATTTGTTTTCAAACCTCTCTTATCATTTATTTTCGGACAAACATATGTTGATGTAAAATATTTTTGGATACACTAGCAGGCTCATGAATAACGGAAGGCCATTTTAATTGAAGTGTAACTCAACTTTATCCCTTTATCTTCATTTAATTACTATTAAATCATTGACTTTCATTCCTTTTATGCATCATGAGGTCTACTATTTTGAATATTTACTTTCATTCATTGTTGTCGTACACAGTGGATAAAAGAAATATCCATGTTCAATCGATATTTCGCATAAAATTTGAGCGAAATATCTGCAAAAATTATTCCAGTGAAATATGAAATTTGTTAGTGATCAATAACGAATTTTTGTGAATATCCATATTTTATTTATCCACCATGTATGAAGTA